ACTACTAAGACCACCCAAACCATTGGCCTGGTCTTTCTCATGGGCAAGGGCATTGTGTTATATGTAATGGAGCTAAGAAAGTGGACAGCCTCTTGGTAAGACCAATTAACCTGGACAGGTCCACAATGCCAGAAGACTGGGCCTGCATTCTGCAAAGATGAGAGACCCACTCAGAAAATGCATCTTGAATCTGGACCTGTGAGGCATTTCTGGTATTCTCCTCACCTGCTGCCTGAACTTCAGAAATCACATGATTAAGTTGAGCCTCAAGAACCTGTAGGATGGGGTGAGAGGAATTGTGTCTAAAGAACTTGGGGTGTGTGTAACAGTACTAGGGCTTGAACTCAGGGCCTTGCTCTCTCCCTTAGTTTTTTGCTCAGGACTGGCACTTTACCATTGTGCCACAACACTATTTCCAACCTTTTGCTAATTAAAAAAATCTCATACACCAGTTAGATTGGCCAACATTGTGAATTCAAACAACAATAAATGTTGACGAAAATTGGGGAAAAGTAACCCTATTGCACTGTTGGTGGGAATGTAAACTAACACAATCACTCTGAACAGCAGCCTGGAGGTTCCTCTAAAAGCTAAACATAGATCTTCTCTATTCTACTACTGGGCATCTACTCATAACATCACAAGCCAGGATACCGTAAAGACACTTGCACATCCATGTTCATTGGGGCACTATTCACAAGAGCCAAGCTATGGAAACAGCCCAGATTTTGTACTATAGATGAGTGGATCCAAAAAATGTGATACCTATACACAATGCAACCTTACACGGCCATTAGAAAGAATAATATTATGTCATTTGCAGGGAAATGGATGGACCTAGAGCAAATTGTGTTAAGTGAAGTAAACCAAGCATACAGAAGTGAGATCTAAAATACACTGGTACATGATAAATTATACAGTGTCTAGGCATTCAGACACAGTGAGACCAAAGGAGGTTCTTTTAGAAGAGAAAAACAAGAGTACAATGCCTGTGTGCATCTGATCATATGAAATCATACTTATTGACATGAACTCCAGAAAATGGAAACAATGGGTTTTTTTCTCTGTTGCTGTTTTTGTTCTTTTCTTTCTGTCTTGTTTGTTAATTTATCTGTCTTTTGTCAGGGTAAGGGACAAAGGATGAACAAATGCATCAGTGGTTCTCACTGGACACTATGTTGAAAACAAACTATACGACTTGTGGGTGGGGATGAGAGGGAAAAACTGGAAGAGAGTAAGGGAAGGGTGACATTGTCCAAAAATAAGTGTAGTCTTTACCTGACTTCTGTAAGTCGGGTAACCCCACTGTACATCACCTTTATAAAAACTAATTTTTAAGTTTTTTCCTGAAGATGAAAGAAGGATGGCCAATAGACACATGAAGAAATGCTCAACCTCTCTAGCTATAAAAGAAATGCAAATCAAAACAACATTGAGATACCCCTCACCCCAGTTAGAATGACTATAATCAAGAACTCTAATAACAACAGATGCTGGAGGGGATGTGGACAAAAGGGAAACTTACTGCATTGTTGGTGGGAGTGTAAACTTGTTCAATCAGTTTGGAAGGCAGTATGGAGGTTTCTCAAAAGACTCCACATAGAGCTCCCCTATGACCCATCAATCCCACTTTTGGGCATTTACCCAAATGATCACAAACAAGGCCATACTAAAGCTACCAGCACAACTATGTATATAGTAGCATTATTTACCATAGCTAAGATATGGAACCAACCAAGATGTCCCTCAGTAGATGAATGGATCAAGAAAATGTGGTATATATACACAATGGAATTCTATGCCTCTCAGAAAGAATGACATTGTCCCATTTGTTAGGAAATGGAAAGACTTGGAAAAAATTATATTAAGTTAAGTAAGCCAGGCCCAAAGAAACATAAGTCTCATGTTTTCCCTTATTTTCAGTAACTAGTATATGTCTGAGACAAGTAGAAAAGGTCAGATAAATGATGTTAGTTGAAATGAACCCCAAGATAAGTATTCAAATGTTTTTTTTCTTTCTTGTGATTGTTTCTAACATATTTATAAGATTTCTTTGTTGCTTTGTATGTCCCTCCCCCATGGTATAACCCCTGCTTTCATTGTATTTGATGTTGGTATAAGTTGTGGAGGGGAAGGGGAAAAACAAATCGTTTAAATAGGGATACAGGTGGACCCATTGCAACAATGAGATGTACAAGTCGTTATGTCGAAAAAACGAACTTTACAACTTGGGTGGCGGGGGAGGGCCGGGGGCAGAGTGGGCGGGGTGGGGGGGGAGATGGGAAGGGATGGGAAGGGGAAACAAAGGAAGAGGTAACAATGCTTGACAAGAAATGTACTCATTATCTTGCCCATGTAATTGTAACCCCTCTGTATGGTATTTTCACAATTTAAAAAAAAAAAACTAAACTTAAAAAGTTTTTTAAAATCTCAGGGGCTGAGAAGGTGGCTCAGTGGTAGAGTGCTTGCCTTGCATGCATGAGGTCCTGGGTTCCATTCCTCAGTGCCCCAAAAATAGAAAAAGCCAGAAGTAGTGCTTGGCTCAAGTGGTAGAGTGCTAGCCTTGAGCTGAAGAGCTGAGGAACAGCGCCCAGGCCCAGAGTTCAGGCCCTATGACCGATAAAAAAAAAAATCTCAACTTTTCTGCTTGGCTTTGAACCATGATCCTTAGATCTCAGCCTCTTGAGGAGCTAGGATTACAGGCCTGAGCCACCAGTTCCCAGCTCTAGTAAACTTTATAAGAGCTACTGAGAATGTTGTCTTGCATAGAGACACCCCTCAGTGTATACATGTTTCCAATATGCTCCAAGAAACCCTGGGTTGAACATAAGGTAAGAAAGTAAGTTAGAAGGCATTTAAGAGTCAAATGATTTTTGTTGGTGATGGGTACAGGGGTTACTGGATTTTGAACTCAGATACTTGTATTTGCTACACAAGCACTCTACTAATTGAGCCATGTCCTAGTCCTTTTTTTTTTTTTTTGCTTTTGTTATTTTTCAGGTAGGCTTCAGACTGAGAGCTGCCATACTTAAGCCTCCCAAGGAGCTGGGATGACAGATATAAGCCATCACACTCAGCTTACTGATTGAGATGACAATCTCACTTCTTGTCCAGGCTGACCTTGAGCTACTATCCTCTCAATATCTACCTCCCAGGTAGCTCAGATTACAGATGTGACACCATGCCTGGCCTTCAAATGGTTAGATACTTAAGATAGTTGCTATTTAAAGATGATGCCTAACAATTCCTCTTTTACTATATATATTCATCACCATTCAAAACAGGTATGTTCCCCTTCTTGTTGTCATAAAGCTGAGCCTCTTACTTCCGGTACCAATAGAATGCTGGAACTACAATGACAGCGTGTGCCAGATCTTCATCTGGAGAAAACCTAGAAGCTTCTGCACTTGTGCCCTTGGATCCCTGAGTTGCTGTGTGCCTCCCAGAGAATCCACATAGAGAGACACAGGTGGAGGCCAAGTGGAAAGGGATCTAGGACCTTTCTGCCAGCTTGGAACAAGGTTCCATCACAGCCACTAGCACAGGAACCCTCTCTACCTGGGCCTGATCATTGAGGCACTGGCTCTAAGGCATAAAGAGACCATCATGGGTGGGCCAGTCCAGCCAGTACCATGAGGAACAGAAACCCATCCCTGCTGACCTATAGGAGCATGAGATGCGGCTATACATTGCTTAACCAAAAGGACACATTGTAAGACAGTCATTGTTAGGCAACATGGTGTGTAAACATTATAGAGTAAACTTACACAAACCAAGATGACTATGCTGTCACCAGGTAATGCAGTCTCATGAGGCTACCATGCTAACTTTTTAGCCTTTTTCTAGAAAGTCTATAAATCACCCACCAGTTCGTATGTGTTCCCCTTGTCACTGGATTCACAATGTGTCATTTCTACACAACAGAGGGACGAAAAGCTAAACAAAGGTGCGGCCACGAGGGGACAGGTAGACTTGGACTGAGGCAATGCCTTTTCTTACAGCTACACCAGATACTACAGATTTTCTGTAGTGGAAACATTTCTAAGTCCCAACACACAAAGCCTCCTCATGCACTCCACTTTATTTAGGGATTTTAGAACACCTGCAATATTTTTACAAGGGAACTGTCATTTTCAGGCTGTGATTAATAACATCTGAAACTAGTGTCATCTCCTCCTAAATCGTGCTGACTCCTTTTTAATTCCTGGGTGAAGCCAGGCTGGATTCCCTCTCTCTACCTGCTTAGAGATGCCAGACCCCCAGAGAACTGCAACAGATAAGAACAGATTTGAAATCAAGTCCCATTATTGGAAATCCTGAAAAATCATTCATGCCAAGTGCTTGTTACTCACACCTGTAATCCTAGCTACTCAGGAGGCTGAGATTTGAGGATTGCATCTTGTTGTTGTTTGTTTTTTGTTTTTCTCATAGTAGGGCCTAAGCGCTGTCCCAGAGCTCTTTTGCTCAAGGCTATCATTCTATCATTTACAGCCTCAGAGCCACTTCCACTTTTCTGATGGGTCATTGGAGATAAGGAGTCTCAAGGACTTTCCTGTCTGGGCTGTCTTTGAACTGGAGGATCGTGTTTTAAAGTCAGTTCAAGCAGGAAAGTCCTTTTCACTCAAGGTTGGTGCTTTACCACTTGAGCCACAACTCCATTTCTGGCTTTGTACAGTTAATTGGAGATAATAGTCTCATGGATTTTTTTCCCCACATTGGCTTTGAACCTACTCAGCCTCCTGAGTAGCTAGAATTATAGGCATGAGCCACCGATGACTGGCTTAGCAATTTATTTTGAATGGCTCCTTGGAAGGGAAGGCATAAATTTATCAATATCCAAAGACACACTGACATCTCCCTTCAATAGTTCCTGTCCAAGAGTATCTCTGCTAATCCAGGATGCTAAGGACAAAGGCAAAAGGAACAAAAAATAATCTCGGGACAGGAGCTTAAATGACCACTTGTAAGACAATGATATTAACATGTTCATCAACAGGTACCTGTGGGTGATCTTCATGGAACAATCGAGGCAGCAGTTTCACCATGATGCACACGATTCCAGGGTGTACAATCACAGTGCCACCTTCATCCACCCTGCAGAGAGAGGGAGAGCAAAACCAGAAATGAGCTCTTCTTTCTCAGTCAGCTCATGTTGTCTTAGAGAAAGACCACAAGTCACAGTCTCCATTTACCACTTAATTACTTAGATGACCTTTGAATTGATCCTTCTGGGCCAAATTGTCCCCTGATCATCCCATGGAATTCACAACACTGCACTTTCTTCCTAAAGACATAAGGACGAGCTTTGTTCCTGAAAGTCCCAGTGGCAACCAGGCACCTGTAGCTCATACCTATAATCCTAGCTACTCAGGAGGCTGAGATCTGAGGATGACAGTTCAAAGTCAGCCCAGACAGGAAAGTCCATGAGATTCATATCTCCACTAAACTACAAAAAAAAGCCAAAGTGGAGCTGTGGCTCAAGTGGTAGAGTGCTAGCCTTGAGCACAAACACTCAGAGATAGTGCCCGGTCCCAGAGTTCAAGCCCCAGGACTGGCAAAAAGAAAAAGGAAAAGGAAAGTAAATAGACCATGTAGACCAATAAAACAGAGTAGAAATCCCAGAAATAAACAAATAAATACTTGACAGAGACACCAAAAACATACACTGAAGAAAAGTATATGGTGCTGGAGAAACTGGCTATCTGCACATAAAAGATTCCAAGTAGACCTCTGTGCAAAAGTCATCAAAATGAACCAGAAGCTTATTAAAAGACTTGAAATTCGGAAAAGACTATGGAAAATATGGGGGAAACACTTCAAGATACAGGCAAAGCCTACAACTTTCTGAATAAGATGCTAATAGCTCAAGAAATAAAAGCCAGAATGGACAAATGGGATTGCAGAAAATGAAAAAATATTCTGCCTAACAAAGGAAGAAACTGCCAGAGTGAAAAAGGAAAACAGCCTATAGAATGAGAAAACCCTAACCAGCTGATCATCCAGCCAAGAATTAATATCCAGAATATATAAAGAATTCAAAAAATTGAACATTAATCAACAAGTGGACAAATGAACTGAATAGACATTTTGCAAAAGAAGTATAATTGGCCAATGGATACATGAAAATACCTTCAGCATCTTTGGCCATCAGAAGAAATGAAACTCAGAAGTACATAGACATTCCTTCTCATCCCAGTCAATGGCTATTGCCAAGAGAAATTTTTAAAAAAAGAGGAGGATGCAGGAAAAAGGAACCTTATATACTATTATTGGGAATGGAAATTGGTGCAGCCATTTATAGAAATCAGTTCCTCAAAAGTGAAGGTTCCTAGACAGGTACGTATGGCTCATACCTATAATCCTAGCTACTGAGGAAGCTGAGATCTGAGAACCATGGTTCCAATCCAGCCCAGCCAAGACAGAAAAGTCTGTGTAACTATTATCTCCAATTAATCACATCCCTGCCCCTCAAAACAAAATAGCTGGAAGTGGAGCTGTGGCTCAAGTAGTAGAGCACTTGCCTTGAGCAAAATTGCCCAGGGGCAACTCCCAGGCCCTGAGTTCAAGCCCTAAGACCGGCACATAATAAATGAATGAGTGAAATAATAGAACTTAAAGCCTCTCAAGGCTAGAAAACCCGGTCCCCTCGTAATGAGGAAAAAAGCATCTTGTCAAACATGAAGGCTGTGTCAACAGGCAGAGGGACCCAATGGCAGGGAAAACAAAGAAACAACGAAACCAAAAAGCTGAGAACCTAACAGCCTAAGTGGGGTAGGGGTGCGGGAAGCAGGAAGCGGGAAACGGGAAGCGGGAAACCCAGCAAGCACATGAAGCCGGCTGTAAGAGCCAGGACTGCATTGAACAGGAACTAGGGTGCCGCGCATGCGTGCAGCGCATGAGTGTTTCGCATGTCTCCCGACTCCTGCCCATCTTGGAATCCCAGAGAGCAATGAGCCCAGCAACCACAGGATCAAGAAACCTGGATTCCTCAAGCATGAGAGCAGACACACCACACACACACACACACACACACACACACACACACGCATGCACGCACGCGCGCACACACACACACACACAGACGCCTGGCTGAGGTTCCCACTGCAGAAAGTGGTAAGGGGACCCCAGAAACCTCAGTAGGGGAGGAGCAGCCACCCCACACAGTCTAAACAGGCCCCTTGGCAACAGAGTTGGGGGGAATACAGTTCATACCAGCCCAGAGCGGAACTTAGAAAAGCTAAAGGCAGGAGATGTGGGCTGAAATCAGCCCAGACCCCTGCCCAAGCCCCAAGGAGGCTGACAGCAAAGACCTGAGAGCCATAGAGGCTGGTTGTGCCTGAGGAATTGGGCCTTGGAAAACCAGAGGGCACCCGGGTCACAAGATCTAGACTGAGACTAGATTCAGGAAACCCTGAGACTTCCTGCAGAGCCTGACAAAAGTCACACTCAGTAGCAGCCTGTAGCGTAATCTCTCTTTTTTTTTTTTTTTTTGTCGGTCCTGGGGCTTGAACTCTGGGCCTGGGCGCTGTCCCTCAGCTCTTCAGCTCAAGGCTAGTGCTCCACCACTTGAGCTACAGCGCCACTTCCGGTTTTCTGGTGGTTTATTGGAGATAGGAGTCTCACGGTCTCTCCTGCCCGGGCTGGCTTTGAACCGCGATCCTCAGATCTCAGCCTCCTGAGTAGCTAGGATTACAGGCGTGAGCCACCAGCGCCGGGCTGTAGCGTAATCTCTTAAATCCTTTCTTCTACCTAAGGGACTGTAAGTGGTGGAAAAGCCTGCCTTACATCACACCTATGTAAGTGTACCAGTCTTAGACTTGGTATTGCTTCCACTGAATTGAACACTGTACTTGTTAAAGTCCAGTTTTTCCCAGCAGTAAGTCAGGAGGGAAAAGGCGATTTACCTTTCAATCTCATCAATCAAATTTTATTCCCAAGTTTCTTTCTGTACCACTGTCACTACCCTTTTGCTTTTCTTTTGTCTCCCCCACCACCTCTCTCTCTTTGGTCAGTTGTGGGACTTGAACTTTAGGCCTGGGTGTTGTCCCTCAGCTCTTCAGCTCAAGGCTAGTGCTCTACCACTTGAGCCACAGTGCCACATCCGGTTTTCTGGTGGTTTATTGGAGATAATAGCTTCATGGGCTTTCCTGTGTGGGCTGGCTTTGAACCACAATCCTCAGATCTCAGCCTCCTGAGTAGCTAGGATTACAGGTGTGAGCCACCATCGCCCAGCTTTTTCTTTCTTAAACTGAGATCATCTTATATCTAAAACCATTGTCCCTACCACTTTATCTTCATTTATACCTTTTTGTAGGAACCCTAGAGTCCTGTAAGGACTGACTGGCTGCAGGAGATTTGACTGGTCTTTGAATGACACCAGGGGACCGTGTGTGTGTGTGTGTGTGTGTGTGTGTGTGTGTGTGTGTGTGTGTGTGTGTGTGTGTGTGAGACCTTCTGTCCATCATCCTGTTAAAGATGGGAGGAGTTCCTATATTTACTTTCCTCAGTGATTCCTAACTGAATCCATCCTGGATCTTTTACCTAAACTGTGTACCACAGTACTACTGATTTCTTGTTCTCTACATCTTGGAATGATTCCTTCTGTTTATTTTCCCATAACTCCTGTAAGCTAGCTGTGGGATAGACAGAGGCTATAAAAGCAGTTGTTGGAGAGGCATGTGTAGGGTTTTGTTGTTGTTGTTGTTTTTTGGGTCCAGTCATGAGGCCTGAACTCTGGGCCTGGGCGCTGTCCCTCAGCTCTTCAGCTCAAGGCTAGCACTCTACCACTTGAGCCACAACGCCACTTCCGGCTTTTGTTTTCTGCTTATGTAGTGCTGAGGAATCGAACCCAGGGCCTCAGGCATGCAAGGCAAGCACTCTACCACTGAGCCACCTTCCCAGCCCAATGTGCGGGTTTTTATGTCTGTCGGTTAACCCCATTTCTTACCCTGGGGGTGAGAAATAGAAGGTTATAATTCACTGCATGGACATGTTCTTCATCCATTGCTCCAGAATCTTCTGGATACCTTTTCCTCTGCCCTGAACACGTCACTGTATCTCCCCATTAACCTCTGCTATGAAAATTATCTCCCTCCTTTCTCCTTATATACCAAAATACCTAGAGCTATCCCAACAGAACTACACTGTCCATCTCTGAACTACTCACACTCTAGTAAAGGAAGGCATCTTAGAAAAAAAAAAGACACACCTTGGTCACTAAGTGCAACTAAAAATTGGAAAAGCTGATCAATAACTTTGGCAAAGCAGCAAGATAAAAAATTAACCCACAAAAATCAGTAACTGTTCTATATACCATCTACATGAAGACAGGGAGGGGAATCAGGAAAACAATTCAATTTGCAAGAGCCTCAAGAAATAAAGCATCTAGGAATAAACCTAACCAAGGAACTGAAGGACCTTTATAGCAAAAACTATAAGCCTCTGAAGAAACCAAAGAAGACATGAGGAAGTAGAAAGACTTCCCATGTTCATGAGTCTGCAGAATCATATTATGAAAATGGCCATAAGGCAAAGGTGATCTACAAACTCAACCTAATTCCCATCAAAATCCCAATGTCATTCTTCACAAGACAGAGAAAGCAATCCAAAATTTCATATGGAACCACAAAAAAAAGCCCAAATAGCCAAGGCAGTTTTAGGCAAAAATTAAAAAAAAAATTTAAAAAGCAATGCTGGAAATATCACAATCCCAGACCCCAAACTTTACTACAGAGGTATAATAGCAAAACAACTTGGTGCTGACATAAAATTAGGCCTGAAGACCATGTAATAGACTAAAAGACCCCAAAATAAACCCATATACTTATAGTTCTCTGATATTTGACAATAAATATATGTTGGAAAAAAGACAGCTCCTTCAACAAATGGTGTTGGAAAAACTGGACATCCATATGGAGAAGACTAAAGTTAGATCCTTGTTGACCACCTTGCACTAAGATCAACTTAAAATGGATCAAAGGCCTCTTCAGACCTGAACCCTTGAAACTACTACACAATGAAATAAGAGAAACATTAAAACTTATTGACATAGGCAGGAACTTTTTCAGGAGAATTCCTGGGACTTAGCAAATATAAGAGAGACTGGACAAACAAGATTACATCAAACTTAAAAGGTTTTGCACAGGACATGACACAGTTACTACGGCAAAAAGACAGCCTACAATGTGAGAGAACTTTATCAGGTATATATATGACAAGGGCCCAATATCGAGCATATACAAAGAGCTCAAGAAATGAAATGCACTCCCCAAAATCAATAGCCCAATTAATAAATAGACAAGTTAGCTAGAGATTTCTCAGAAGAAGTAAGACTATCCAATAAACACATAAGGAAATTCTCAACCTCCCTGGCCATAAAGGAAATGAAAATCAAAACAACATTGAGATTCCTTCTCACCCCATCAAGAATATGAACAATAACAAATGCTGGTGGAAATGTGGAGGGGAAAAGGAATCTTAGTACACTGTTGGTAGGAACATAAACTAGTACAACTACTCTGGAAGGCAGTTTAGAGATTCCTCAAAAACTAAATATAGAACTACCCTATGATCCAATGATAGCACTCTTGGGCATTTACCTAGAGTATTACAAGTCAGGATACAGTAAAGACACTTGTGCATCCATGTTCATTGCTGTACCATTGACTTTAGCCAAGGCAAGGCAACAGCCAGGATCCCCTACAATTGATGAATGGACCAAGAAAATGTGGTATATATATATATATAAAACAGAATTTTACTCATCCATTATAAAGTCAACCATATTAGAAAGAATAATATGTCATATGAAGAAAATGGACCTAGAACAAATCAGGTTAATAAGTTTCTCATATATGGAAGCTAGATCTAAAATACAGATAACATGTGTGAGGGCTTTATACATATACACAAAAAAAAGTGACTAAAGGATGGTATTCTTAGGGGAGAAATCCAAAGGTGTTACTTCTTTGAACAACTAATGCGCTGTTTACCAAAATGATTACCAAGAAATGGAAGCATGTTTGGGGAGGTGGGCAGTAAGGGTAGGGAGACATGAATGGAGGGAGGAAGAGTGAACAGATGCAATCATTACATTCACTGTTCATTATGTAAAAATTGAACTATCTAATTTGAGGGAGGGGGAAAATGTGGGTAGAATGATGGAAGAGGTGACATTTACCAAGATGCATTGTACTCATAACCTGAAATTTGGAAACTTATATTACAACTACTTAATGATAACAATAATAATAATAATAGAACACTCACTGGGTGCCAGTGGCTCATGCCTGTAATCCTACCTACTCGGGAGGTTGAGATTTGAGGATATCAGTTCAAAGCCAGTCTGGGCAGGAAAATTCATAAAACTCTTGCCTCCAGCTAATCACCATAAAGCCAGAAAAGGAGTTGTGACCCAAGGTAAAGCTCTAGTCTTGAGCAGAAAAGCTCAGGGACAGTGCCCAGACCCTGAGTTCAAGCTCCAGGACTGGTGCAAAAAAATTATTAATAAAGTTGTTTAATAATGGAAAAAATAACAAGTTTTCAGAAGGCGGATAAAGATAAGGTTTAGCTTAACAGACTAATCCTAAACAATGTAAGTTCCATATTCATAAATGGAAATTTTACATCAAAAATTTCAATTAATTCAAAACTAGACAAGAGGGTATTAAAAAAATAAGACAATCAGAAAATATACAATAGCAAAACTGGCAATCATTTAAAATGTACCAGTAATTACAAAAGTGTAAATAAATCACATTTACCTGTTAAATAACAAAAAAAAAACCCTAAATACTTTTAAAATAAAGTCAAACAAAACAAAACCTAGCTCTCTAAAGGGTTTAAAAGAGAAACCCTTTAAATATAAGACCACAAGTAAGTTAAAAAGGGAAAAAAATATTTCCAAATAACACTAAGCAAAAGAAAGCTGCAATAGTCCTGTTACTGGCAGTCAATCAAAATATGCTAATAAAGACAACACACACACACACACACACACACACACACACAAAGTCAAGATACAATGAAGAAAATTCTGACTATAAAATTATCTACAGTTTCTAAATATGTATGATTTAGGTAATTTCCAAATACATAGATGGTAAAAATATAGAAATTTGCTCTAAGTTGCATTACAGTTACTTCAGCATATCTTTCTCAAGAGCTGTTTTAATATAAGCAGATTTAAAATGTCTTGATAAGATAGGCTGGGCACCAGTAGCTCATACCTATAATCTCAGCTAATCAGGAAGTTGAGCTTCAAAGAATCATAGTTCAAAGCCAGCCAGGACTGAAAAGTCTGTGAGACAGTCCCCAAGATAATCAGCAAAAACCAGACTGTAGACATGACTCGAGTGGTAGAGCACCAACCAAGCAAGCAAACCAGCTAGACAATCGTGAGACCCTGAGCTCCATTCCCCATACCATCAATTAATTAACTAATTAGTTCATTATGTCTATCTGGGCATTCGTAGCTCATACCTGTAGTTCTAGCCCCTAGGCCAGTCTGCCCATCTGAGCATACACAGGAGGCCTCTACATCACATAGCTGGACACGGTGGCATGTGTCTATCATCTAGCTGCATGGGAGGCTGAGGTGGGGAGGATCTTGTTTTTAGGCCAGCCCTAGCAGAAAACTCCACAACACTGCATCTAAATGAAAGAAGCTGAGTTTGGTGGAGCATACCATCACCCAAGCCCAAGCTATGGCAGCAAGTTTCAAGTAAGGTAATTATGGTCTATCTCCTTGCACAGGCAAAAAGCAAGAACCTATCTCAAAAATAAACTGTGCAGGGCCAGGGCCCAGAAGCTCATGCCCATTATCCTAGCTGCTCAGGAAGCTAAGATCTAAGGATCATGATTCAGCCCAGGCAGAAAAGTCCAAAATTCCAGAAGTGGAGCTGTGACTCCACTAATGTTCTGCTAGTGGCAGAGCACTAGCCTTGAGCAAAAGAACTCAGGTGCCCAGGATCTGAGTTCAAGCCCCAGGATCAACATACGTACAGAAAGGGGGGGAGGGAGGGAAGAAGGGAGGGACAGAGGGAGAGAGGGAGGGAGAGAACAGCTAAGAAAGAATATGAGAGGGCTAAACACTAATGTTGCAGAAAATCCCTTTTTAAAGTTACCTTTCATAGTCAGCCATCACTGGCTCACATATATAATCCTGGCTATTTAGGAAGCTGAGATCTGAAGATCACAGTTCAAAGCCAGACTGGACAGGAAAGTCTGTAGCAGTCCTATCTCCAGTTAACCACTAAAAAGGCCTGAAGTGAAGCTATGTCTTAAGTGGTAGTAGAGTGCTAGCCTTGACTTAAAAAAGAAAAATCTCAGGGACAATCCTAGGCCCTGAGTTCAAGCCCAGTACTGGCACTAAAAAGGAAGGAAGGGGGGTGCAGGGGCAGAGGGAAGAAGAAAAGGAAGGAAGGAAGGGGAGGGAGGGAAGGAAGCAGGGAGGGAGGGAGGGAAGGAAGGAAGGAAGGAAGGAAGGAAGGAAGGAAGGAAGGAAGGGAGGGAGGAAAGGAGGAAGGAAGGAAGGAAGGAAGGAAGGAAGGAAGGAAGGAAGGAAGGAAGGAAGGAAGGAAGGAAAGAAAGAAGGAATGAAGGAAGGAAGGAAAGGAGGGAGGAAGGAAGGAAGGAAGGAAGGAAGGAAGGAAGGAAGGAAGGAAGGAAGGAAGGAAGGAAGGAAGGAAGGAAGGAAGGAAGGAAAGGAGGGAAAGAAGGAAAGGAGGGAGGGAGGAGGAAAGGAGGGAGGGGGAGGGAGGGAAAGGAAGAAAGGTAGGTCACATGAGGTTTGAGCTCACCCCACATGCAGCTTAGCCTTCCTAACCAGCTCCACCTGTGCGAGATGTTTGTGGAAGACACAAATGGGAGTCATGGATACACTGAGTGCCCCATGGCAGAAGATACCTCTCCTCCGGGTCTGGCCAGTGACTGAGATTGCTATGGAGGTCACCGCCGCCAGCTTGTCCTTTCTGGGCACCCATGACTGGCTCTTGCCCGGCCCTCAGGGCCTCCTTCAGGTCTGCGCGCAGGTGGAGCGTCCCACTAGCCATACTGTCCAGAAAGGTGAGGATCTGGAGACAGCTCTTCAGCCTGGGTGGGAAAGGGCAGCTGGAGGAAAAGGCAGAGCTCAGCAAAGCTGCAAATGACCTGCTACTCTTTAGGTCAGATGAGAATGGCCTAGGGGTGCTCTCTTTCTCTGGGGCCCCAAAACAGCCCAGCAGGCAGAGATCCTCGGCTAACTTCTCAAAGAGCCCATTTGTCCTGAAGAAGCTGGCATTGACTGGATCCAAGTGCAGGGCTGCGGAGAGCACAGACAGCGTGTGCAGCACCATCTCCAGGGTCTGAGGAGGGGACACGGTTCCCCACATCTGCAGCGGGGGCTCATGGAGAGATCCCTCCAGGTCAGACAGCAGGGACAGGAGCCCGTTGAAACCACTGGCGGCTCGGAAGGCAGCGCGGCCCTTGGGGGTCTCCAGGATCCGCAGCAGTGACTGAAACACCAAGTAGAAAAACAAATGAGTGGCCTTCAGAGAGGCAGATCTAGGTCCAGCACACTTGTGATCACATTGTGACAAGGGCATCCAGTGTCCATGTGCCCTACCCTGCCAGATGCTACAAGAAGCCAGGTCACCTAGGACCAAGGTAAAGGATTGTAGAACATCACCATGACAAACTTGTTACCCTAATTTTAGTTTTAGTTTGCCAATACATGCTTTTATTTAAATTATACTGGTAGGGTTGATCTAACTGGTCACTTTGTGTGTGTGTGTGTGTGTGTGTGTGTGTGTGTGTGTGTTTGTGTTTGTGTGTGCGCGTGCATGTGTGCACATATGCTGGTACTGGGACTTGAACTCAGCACCTCAGTGCTGTCCCTTAGCTTTCTCATTCAAGGCTGGTGTTCTACCACTTCAGCCACAGCTCCACTTCCGGCTTTTTAGTGCTTAATTGGAAATAAGAGTCTCACAGACTTTCTTGCCCCGAATGGCTTTGGACTGGAGACCCAGGTAGAAGATCTTTAGCCTCTGGGGCAAGAAGAGGCTAAAGGAAACAAGGTGTCTACACCCACCCTGCTTGAGCAACCTGCTCCCAACCTAAATTTTGTTCTTTGACTGAGAAGGAAATTAACTCTTAAGTTTGAAGTGCATGATGGTTTTGAGCACTCCCTTTGAATGATAATGGGCATAGCAGACTACACATGGGTGAATAGGAGTCTGATTATCTGAACCTGCCCTTTGCCTGGTCACATGACATATGCCACAAAAAATAAATCCAAGACACTGGAAAATCTTAAGCTCCATGGTGTTAAATTCCATGTGTGTGTGTGTGTGTGTGTGTGTGTGTGTGTGTGTGTGTGTGTGTGGCCTGTCACTTGTTTATTGGAGATAGGAGTCTCTCAGATTTGTCTACTTAGGCTGGCTTTGAACTGTAATCCTCAGATTTCATCCTCCTGAGTAGCTAACCTTACAGGCATGAGCCACCAGCACCCACAAAAACAGTTTAAATTTATATGAGGGCCTTCAAGGGCTCTTAAGACCAATAGGAGATTCCTTTCAAGCAAATGGAATGAATGAAGCATTTCTGTTTATCTCAAAATGAATACAGAAATAGAACATGATTAAAATATAAAACTAATCAGATTCCAGCCAATTGTCTGCACACTGGATGACCATGAAAACGCTCACTTCTCTCCAGGAGCCATCTTCCAGTTGCCCAAATTGATGCCAGATATTGTTTAGAAAAGCTCCATGCTTTGGAATGTTAAGAGTGGATATTGTAAAAGAAAAGCAACTCAATGATAGTTCTCATCTTGCTCTATGTCTCTTAGGGGGACTGCCACCTGAAATGCCTAGGTGGCTGCTTTCTTCTGTGGTTGGAGGGAGGAGGAAGAAAGAATGGCTACCCTTAATTGTTGCTTTGTTTGATTTATTAAATTCAGAGTCATTCTCTCAAATGGGGGGCGGGCGTGGAGGGGTAATCTCATTAGAACGCAGACTGCTCTATGATTTCTTAGGATGGGGTTAATTTCATATTTGCAGAGTCATAAAATAAAGCGTGTAGAATCCAATTACAGAGGCTTAATTTCATAGCAGCTAAAGAGAAACATTTCTATCAGCAAGGAAAAATAAATACTTGGCTACTTCGGGAAACAATTTGTCAGGAAACTGGGGGGGGTCAGGGTAAGGAGGGGCCTATGAAGAAGGTCTCCATTACTGTCATTCAAATCTGTAGGATCATGCATCACATAGGATTTTGAATCTGCAGAAAGGAGTAAATTTAATCAGCTGCAGTCAAAGTAATCAGGCTCAGGTTGACACATTTCAAGAAAGGTCAACGTTAAGCACATTTTCTCTTCCCTAACTCAGTTATCGTGTCATCGTCTCTGAGTTAGTATTCCTCCAGCTTGAATCTATCAAATGGATGCCTGCTGCAAAGTGCTAACTGTGTTAGAACTGAGGGGATTTATTTCACATCCTATTATTTGTTATTCCTCATAATTTTCCATGTGTCATGCTGGAAGACCGGGGAGCTAATGTGATTAAGCTCAGAGTCGAACAGCTAAATGTATATTAGCAAATCAATCTGAATTTGTGCATAACCCAATCATGGTCTCACTGGCCATAAGGGAGGAAATTCATTTGCTTACATTATCCTTTAACTCGGTTATAATTTGTCAGAATGGGTGGTGTGGTTGCGTGGTTCCGTGTGTGTCTGGAAGCAGTGCACCACTGGATTTGGGAAACATCTGTGTGACATTCATCTTCTCTGGAGTGGCTGGCAGAGTCTGCCACAGGGAGGCGGACAAGGAAGTGAAGCCAGGATGGGATATCACCTTATTGGGAAGGATACTGCCTGCCTTTTTTACTTTCCCACTTCCACACACTAGTATTTCCAGCATGTTCCCCTTCATCCTCCATCTGCCCCATTGTGTTGACTCAGTGTCCATAGGTACAGGTAGCTCTCAGCTTGTGTGTGTGTGTGTGTGTGTGTGTGTGTGTGTGTGTGTGTGTGTGTGTGTGTGTGTCCCCAGTACTGGGGCTCAAAGCCATGTCCTCATGTCTCACTTTGCTTTTCCTTCATGAAGATGGTCTAACACTTGAACCACCCCTCCACTTCCAGCTTTTGGCTGGTCAACTGGAGATGAGTCTCTCCTATGAATGTGCCCAAGCTGGTTTGAAACTGGGACCCTCAGATCTCTGCCACCTGAGTAGCTAGGATTATAGGCGTAAGCCACCCACACCTGGTTTAGCTCTCAACTTCTTCAAGAGGATCAGTCACAAAGATTTCATTTTATACCTTTGTTTCAAAAGGTTCAAAGGATTCTCAGACAAGTTAGAAAAACTTCCCCAGACAAAGAAAGAAGGGAAAAGATCAACCCTGGGGCTCAGTTGGTAAGCCAGCCAGTGAGCAAAATCATCACATACTAAGTTCAAATCCTGGTCTCAGACCAAAAAGGAAAACCTTGCAGATTCCACATTGGATTCCAGCACTAGTTCTTCATGTGACTCCATAGTGAGAAATCTAGAGTCGGCTCTAGGGAAGTGGCCAGGCCTTCCCACCACCACTGGAGAGACAGCATGTTAGCAGCGAGGCTCTTAAAGGGCAGCAGCAGCTCCTGGGCCCTCCCAACCGTCCAGCCGGGACTGCCTTTGGTATATCAGAGAGCAGACAGCACACGGAGCCTGCACGCTTCGTTAAATAATCTCACTTAAGTGCTCATTCCTTATGAGCTCTCTTGACAGTATGATTCTGAAATGATATTGAATCAGTAAAACACCATAATGGCTTTACATTGCTAATTCTAGAAATTCAGTCCTATTACCCAGGGGCTACCACTCCAATAAGAATGTCTCTGGGCTGCAGAGTAAATAAGATACACCATCCACAGACAAAGCTGAGTCCTGTTTTCTATATTGGACATAGAACTACTTTGACTTTTGAAACAAAGGCAATGCAGAAACTTTCTTCTCTATAAATCTGTTTGGATCTTAGTATAAATTATGCACTCAATCACAAATCAAAGTCAGAGCCTGTTGATAGATGGACACACATTCCCTGTTCTGGGGCTTCAGCTCAGGGCCTAGGCACTATCCCTGAAGCTTCTTTTGCTCATGGCTAGCACTCTACCACTTGAGCCACAGCTCCACTTGTGGCTTTTTTGGTGGTTAATTGGACATAACTCATGAACTTTCCAACCCCATCTGGCTTTGAACCACAATCCTTGAGATAAAAGGCTCAGGGACAGCACCCAGACCCTGAGTTTAAGCCTTAGGACCAATAGACAAAGGGGGAGAAATGGAATGAAAACAGAAGTAGTAACAATACTATGAAAGAGGAGTACATTTGATATTTCTTACATACCTTTGGCCATTTTAAGATAATGTGATGACTATTGGCAATATTAGAAAAACGTTTTTTTTTAACTATCCAAACATGGCAACCTAGTTTCGTTTGTCCCTTTGTGCCAGCTGCCCTCACTCCTTGCCTGTCACTTGTATCCTTTCCAGCTCACTCCTTCTCCTCTGTGAGCCTTCTTCACAGAGGAAGTGGTGGTCCCTCCTCCTCTCATCCCATAACAGCCTGTACCCAATGGTAAACTGGGCACATGCACCACTGCATTACAATCAGTACCCACATAGTGAGCACTTGTCCCTGAGATTCAGGGGGCAAGGACTATATGCCCACCCCAGGCTCTCTGCCAGGCCTTGTCATTCATAGATGCTCACTAAAACCAGTGATCAAGGCAGGTGTTTTAGGCTTTAGTCTCATAGTTCCCAGGGTGTCTGGGAGGTCGCTTTCTAGCCAGAGATTTTATTTCCTGGCACCCTTTGTATCATCTGAGTCCTGCCCCAAATTCCCAAATTCTGCCCAGAGAAATTGAGACAGAAGTTCACACATCCTATTCCATCTTAAATGTGAATGCTTGTGCCAGTCTCCACAATCTCAATTCTTTTTTCTGCTGGCTGAGTTACATGCCCACCTGATAGCTAACCCGAGGGACAACTCCAGTGGTTGATTAAATTCTGCATAAGAAAGAAATTTCTAGAAGCTGGGGCTTCAGTGGATTATGCTTGCAATTCTAGTTACTCAGGAGGCTGAGATCTGTGGATTGCAATTTGAAGCCAGCTTGGGCAGGAAAGTCCTTGAGACTCATCTCCAATTAGGCAACAAAAACTAGAAGTAGAGATGTGGCTCGAGTAGTAGAGTTAAAGTTAGCCTTGAGCAAAAAGCTCAGGGACAGCACCCAGACTTTTAGTTCAATCCTCAGGACCAAATTGAAAAAAAAAGGAAAAAGAAAAGAAAATCTCCAATGTGTCGAGCAACTGAGGGAATAGTACTCCTTTGTTACAGCAGCTAACACTACCTCACATGATGTACTACCCACTTAATACAGAGGCCAACCAAATGAATGTGAACAAAGCTAAATCAGCTGGTGTGCATCCATGAGAAAGGCATAGAGGAGAACTGAAAAATCACCTTCAGGAGATCCAGCTTCAGCTGCAGCTCCCCCTGAGTGGATGAGCACAAGGCCCCCACAATGATGCTCATGTATTCCTCAGCATTGATGATTGAGAGCTGCTCCAAGATGCTGAGCGAGGCTCCCCGGTAATTCTCATCATCCAGGAAGATCTTGATGAAGGGCACCATGCCGTGGTCTTTCAGGACAACTGAGGAGCAGACATTTAGGCTGGAGTTAGAGGACCTTTATTCTAATCACATGGGAAACTTATTTTTATACTGCAAACATTTTTAATGATTATTGTTGAGCCTACATTTTGGAAATTTACTTCAAACTGCAACGACTTTAAATAAATGTTTGTAATATACAAAGAAAAATACAACCAAACATAAAACTTGCTTCAGGTGTGCCTTGCACCCAGACCACTGTCTCCCCCTCACATGGAAAACTTTTGCTTACAACCTTCAAATTCACTTTGCTGTATTTTTCCCTATTTTGCTAAAAATTTTTCTAATTGTTTTCTAATTATTTCTTGCTAAATTTGTTGATAAATTCTTTAGTTACGCTTTGTTTATATTATTCTTTCTTGTGGATTGGAATGGGAAGAGGAGAAGAGAAGCTATGCAACCTCCTGAGTAGCTGAGGCTCTCCATTCAAAGGCAGGTTGGGCAGACAAATCTGAAAGACTCTGATGTCCAATTAACCATTAAAAACCCAGAAGAGGAGGTTTGGTTCAAGTGGTGGTAGAGCACCAGTCTTAAGCAAACAGCTAAGGGACAGAATCCAGAACCTGAGTTCAATGCTCAGTACTGGCACAAGAAATACATGCATGCATGCATATACAAATACATACATGCAAAATGGTCTAATTCACCAGGAAGCATCATAATCTGTTTTGGGGAAAAAATCAGTATCCTGAGCTCCACCTTGAATTACTACGAATGCCGTGCCTAGGAGTCTGGAGGCTCACAGCTCCTCCAGGAGGTACTTTGTAGGCTGATGTTAGAGACTTCCTTGCTATAATGAAATGCTAGTCTTTTATATTCAATACATTTCATCGATGAAGACCTCAAATAAATATAACTAGTCACAACAGGAACTGGTGGCTCACACCTATAATCCTAGCTGCTTTGGAGGCTGAGATCTGAGAATAGCAGATCATAAGACTAAACTCTAACCACATACACACACACAAACACACACAGAAAGAGCTGGAAGTGGAATTGTGGCTCAAGTGGTAGAATGCCAGCCTTGAGTAAAATAAATTCAGGGAAGCCGGGCATTGGTGGTTCATGCCTATAATCCTAGCTACTTAGGAAGCTGAGATCTGAGGATCATGGTTCAAAGCCAGCCTGGACAGGAAAGTCCATAAGATTCTTATCTCCAATTAACCAGCAGAAAACTGGAAGTGGAGCTGTGGCTCAAAGTGGTAGAGCACTAGCCTTGAGCTGAAGAGCTGAGGGGCAGTGCCCAGGTTGTTCAAGTCCCATGACCAAAAAAAAGGCTCAGACAGCAGTCAGGCCCTGAGTTCAAGCCCCAGGAATGGCACATGCACACACACACACACACACACACACACACACACACACACACACACACCACTAGCACCTAACCCACTGCCCACTGATATGACTTTGTTGGTATAACTGTTTCATATTATATTGAAATATATATGTATATATATATATATGGAGAGAGAGAGAGAGAGGGAGAGTACTAGGAAGTAAATACATGTCTTTATCTGAGTGGGAATAGGGCTTAACTAAAGCAGGTGCAGATGAATAGAGAAAGGAATAGTAGGTGAACACAATCATAATATTAAATGTACATATGTGAAAATGAAGCCAGGTAACTTGAGGGTATGGACAGGGTAAAAAGGATATGTTGGAGAGAATGATGAAAAGAGTGATATGGATCAAGATGCACTGTACTCATAAACTGACATGTTGAATCAAAACCTCTCTGTACAAGTACTTAAAGGTAATAAATATCAAGTAAATATCCAAATATACATGCATGTATATTATAAATATAGAGAGATACATTTATATAAGTTTATTATATAATATATATATACATAATAAAAGCATGTCCTCTTTTTAAAAGCTTCCCATTATATTAGGAAACTTTAAAAAGAGGAGGCATTCAGGCATTATTGGCATGACTATAACCCTATCTACTCAGAAGACTGAGATCTGCGGATTACAGTTCAGAGCCAGCGTGGACAAGAAACTTTGTGAGACTCTTATGTTTAATTAACCAACAAAATCCAGAAATGGAGCCTTGACTCAAGTGGTAGAGCTCTAGACTTGAGGAAAAAAGCTCAGGGACAGTATCCAGGTCCTGAGTTCATGCTCCAGGATTGGCACCAAAAAAAAAAAAAGCAGGAAAAAGAATAAATGGAGTTGTTAAATTCCTTTTGGGCAGATGGATATCAAATTATCACAGAAGACTAGCTTCCTTTGCAGATTCTTTACTCCTCTGGGTTAAGAAAAAGCATGTGCAGAACCTGAAGCAGGATATTCATAGATTTCACTTGACAAAAATAAGAGATGTCTTTAGGCAGTCATTAATTTAGAAAATGCTAGATTCAGCATTGCTTGCCAACCTTATTTTATGTTAGAAGTACAAAGTGTCAGTTTTGTGATAGAGCACTTGCTCAGCTTTGTACAAGGCCCTGAGTTCCATCTCTGCATCGTCATCACCATCATCATCATCATCATCATAAAGCAGAAAACATGATGAACCAAGGTGGTTACTCATCAACTAGCAATGGACATGAATCACAGTGTTAGCATTAGCTATCCCTTGACTACACCCTTTGATCATTGGCATAGGAAAGAAACAATCCGTGTTTTTCAAAGCAGTAGCTAGGTGAAGCTGGTTGCAACCTCACCTGTGTTTCGAACAGAGTCTTTCAGGAGTGCGGCCACTATGCTCAGCATCACACAGGTAAGTTCTCTTTCTGGATCCTGAATGCCAGGAATGGACAATTTGTTTCCTGTCGTATTGAAGAACCAAAAGACAAACAAGAAATTTAAATGTGTGTTTCTGGCTCCACCAAGTTTTCTATCCTGTTCAGAAGATGAGAAAACAACATACCCATTTTATGGGAATGAAACCTCTCAACCCATAAGCTAGAACCCTACTCCCCACCAACAGCAATGGTACTCCAATTTGAGCACATCAGAATCTCCTGGGCAGGAGGGGTGTTGTTAACATTTACAGCCCCATGCTGGACCTCATCCCCACAGTTTCTGACTCAGTCAGCCTTGGAAAAGATCCTATAATCTGCATTTCATGTTCCCTAGGGATGCTGATGGGTGGGGCCCAATGGCCACCCTTCAAGAAGCACTGCCCTAGGTGGCAAACAGAGCCCTGCCTCCTCCATCTTTCTTTCATAGACTACTATTCACAGCAGAGCGGGAAAGGTGCCAGCTCATCAAGTGAGCTGTGGAGCAGCTCAGAGACACAGGAGTAAAGAAATAGCCCCATTGGATCCATGAAGGCAAGATGGGGTCTCTTTATTCATCATTGAATTCCAGCACTAAAAGGGGACACTGAAAGTTCAATGCGTGCCTGTCTGTCTGTCTGCCTCACTGCCTGTCTATCTGATTATTTGTCGGATTATTTGTTTGCCAGTACTGGGGCTTGAACTCAGAACCTCATGCTCTTGCTAGGCTTTTTTGCTAAGGTTGGCACTCTACCACTTGAGCCATTCCTCTGCTTGCTGCTTTTTTGCTGGTTAATTGAAGGGTCTCCCAGATTTGTCTGTCTAAGCTAGCTTTGAACCACAATCCTCAGCTCTTAGTCTCCTGAGTACCTGGGATTACAGCTGTAAGCCACCAGTGCCTAGCTCAATATGTATGTGGGAAATGAAGAATGGAAAAATGAATGAGTACATCTCCTATGTGAGAACAGGAAATGTTTCTCTGTTTTTCTGTATCTTCCTACTTTACCCCTACTATATTAAAATAAATGCTTGCTAAAACTTTAAAAAGAAAAAGAGAAGGAAAAAGGAATGAAGAGGAAGGAAGGAAGGAAGGAAGAGAGGAGGGAGGGAGGGAGGAGGGAGGGAAGGAGGGAAGAAAAAGTAAAAAGAAAGAGAGGGAGGGAAAGAGAAGAAAGAAAGAGGAAAGGGAATGAAGAGAAGGAGGAGGACAAAGGAGAGAAGAGGAGGAAAAAGGAGGAAAAGGAGAAGGATGAGAAGAAAAAGAAGAGAAAGAGGAGGAGGAGGAGAAAAGGAAGAAGAAGGAAAGAAAGAAGGAGGAGGGAGGAAGGAGGGAGAGGAGGAAGAAGAGGCCACCTCACAGAGGAGATGTAACTAGATTCGGTTGCTCAGCTTGTTGGTCCCATGTCCAGAATTCTAGCCCAGGCTTTCTGGCCCAAAAATGCACACTTTCTCCTTCAGCTTCTTCAGAAAACAGGCAGACTGATAACGATGGCTTAAGACTGAAGCAGAATCTGAAAAGCAGCTAAAAGCCTTCCCAGCCAGTACAGTGGGAGATGAAAATGTAGAGGAAGAATCCATGGGGAGAGGTACATGGCCAGGTTCTTGGGCCCTAGCATCCCTCCTCCATGCTGACTTCCTTGAGCAGCAGATGCAGTCAGACTGAGCAAAAACCAAGGGGAAGCTGGGTGCCAGTGGCTCACGCCTGTAATCCTAGCTACTCAGAAGGCTGAGATTTGATGATCACTGTTCAAAGCGAGCCAGGAAAGTCTGTGAGACCCTTATCTCCAAATAACCAACAGAAAATCAGAAGTGGATCCATGGCTTAAAGTAGTAGAGTGCTGGCCTTGAGCATAACTGCTCAGAAACAGCACCCAGGCCTAAACCCTAAGTTCAAGCCCTACAACTGACCAAAAAAAAAAAAGAATAATACAAGTTCTGTGCCTTGCTTCCTATTCAAAAATCTCACAGGTGGGGACTACAGATTCCACAGCAGGAAGGTAGCTTGGGACACAGGGGGTAATAATACAGCCTGACCCCTGACCACTATACACTGCCAAGGGACCGGAAGGAGCCCCAAAGGCCCTATAGGAGTGGCAGAGGCTGCTGAGGCTGAGACCCCAGCATTTGGGGCTGAGATCAGAACTTAGATGTGTTGCCAGGCAACATAGGTCTAGGGACCAGCAGAACACACCTGGTGGGACCAGACTTGGAGGTGCCTGCTGGATCAACAAGGCCCTGGAAGTAGGGGTGAGGGGGAGGCATCAGGCTTCAGCACAGAGTGAACAAGGCCACATTCCAGATCCCAGAAAGAGCCCTAGCACCCCAGGCCTCTCCAGGGTCCTATCCCTCCACATTGCTAAGGAGCCATGGGCCCTACCATCTCTTGTGAGGAAGAGATTTGAAAGCCGAGAATCCCCAGGCCTAAGTCAGCTCACAGAGCCCTTTTAAGTTATATCCATCCCTTTCACCAAACTATGGTACCTATATACAATGGAATTTTACAGAGCCAATTAGAATAAGATTATGTCATTTGCAGGAAAATGGATAGACCTAGAACAACCATGCTAAGTGAGGTAAGCCAAGCTCAGACAAACAAATGGCACATGTTTTTTTCTCATATGTGGGAGCTACATCTAAAATACACTGGAACATGATAAATTATACAAGACTCTACGCATTCACACACAGCAAGACCAAAGGAGGATCCTCTTAGGAGAGGAACACAAAGGCACAATGCCTATGTGCCTCTGATCACACAAAATAATATCAAAATGAACTCCAGAAAAGGGAAACAAATGTTTGTTTATCTGTCTTTGGAAGGGTAAGGGGGAGGCACAGGAATGGAAGGACAAAAGGTGAGCAAATGCAGCAATGGTATCCACTGGACAACATGGTGAAAATGAACTTTGCAACTTATGAGGATGGGAGGGAAAAACTGGGAGAGAGCAAGGGAAGGGGCAATATTGTCCAAAGACTACTGTACTCATTGCCCAACTCATGTAGTTTTAACCCCTCTTGTACATCGCCTTTATAGTAACGATTTAAAAAAAAAAAAAAAAAAAAGCAGGAGGCTGCCCATTCTTCATGAAGCCACGTGTCCCAGGGAACACCTCCTATAAACTCTCACAGTACCTGCAGACACTGGACATTCTGGCTTTCTATGTGTGGTTAAATTGGCTGCGCTGTACCTGACTTCCTCAGGATCTTGGCTTGCTTTCGCAGCTGGGCCAATAGCAATCCTAGCAGCCCTGAATCCCGGAAGATGTCAGTGAAGAGCGGATCACTGCTGGTGATCCTGAGGATGCTCTGCAGGGCCACCAGGGCACAGGAAGGCTCGGGGCTGTCCTTGATCAGACGCTGCACCTTCCCCAGGATCTCGTGAGGCACATAGTGCAGCCTGAATACCAAGGCCTCCAGAAGCTGGAAGAAGTGCACCTGCACGGGGACTGGCTTCAGCGCTATGATTTCCACAAACTGCGAGATAGGCTGCAGGGTCCACTCCAGCAGGAAGAAGTTTCGAGGGTTCCAGGCCCACATAGTCTTGATGGCCAACAGGATTTGTGAGCAAAGGACAGAGTCGCTGGCTTTATGGAAAACATTCTGGAGGACCTGGAAGGCCTGAAGGTTTTTAACAGTCATCCCTGGAGACGAAAACAAGAATAACCCTGCAAGTTACCTCTCTCACTTATGTCTGGAAATACATGCATGCGTTATCATTAAGATACATGGTTTGAAGTTTCTATTTCTTTCCTATGAGAATTTAGTAAATAAGTCCAAAAAAAAAAAAAATGGAGCCATCCAGGATGTGAAAAAGGCTGCAACGTCATTATCAACGTTGTGACAATGTGGTCACTCTCAACTAAGATATGCTCAGAGGGTCAAATGCAAGCTGGAGAAAACCCAAGATTGCAACAAACTGATGAACACATGTTGCGATGTAATATTGAAAATATAGTGATTAAAAGTAAGGATATGGGGGCTGGGTAGGTGGCTTAGTGGTAGAGCGCTTGCCTTGCATGCATGAGGCCCTGGGTTCGATTCCTCAGCACCACATAAGCAAAAAGAAAAAAGCCAGAAGTGGCGCTGTGGCTCAAGTGGTAGAGCACTAGCCTTGAGCTGAAGAGCTGAGGGACAGCACCCAGGCCCAGAGTTCAAGCCCCATGACCAGACTCCCCAAAAAAAAATGAGGATATGATCAAAACTAATTTGAAGTGTTTCTTCTTGCTGAAAATTTAAATTACATTTAAAGCCAGATGCCTGTGGCTTACACCTGTAATCCTAGCTACCTGGGAGGCTGAGCTCTGAGGATTGTGGTTTGAAGCCATCCAGGCAGGAAAATTTGTGAAACTCTCATCTGCAGTTAACCAGCAAAAAGCTGGAAGAGGAGATGCATGCATTTGAAGTGGTAGAGTAAAACAAAAAAACTAAAAGACAGCACCCTTGCCCTGAGTTCATACCTCAAACTATCACTTAAAAAACTAAAATAAAATGGTGTGTTCCTGGGTGCTGGTAGTTCACACCTGTAATCTCAGCTACTCAGGAGGCTAAGATCTAAGGATCATAGTTCAAAGCCAGTGCAGGCAGGTAAGTCTATGAGTCTTATCTCCAATTAACCACCAAAAAGCCAGAAGTGGAACTGTGGCTCAAGTGATAGAGCACTATCAATGAACAAAAATTCCAGTAACAGTGCTAGGCAACCAAAAAAAAGTATGACTCGTTATACTTCCATTGGTCATAATTGATAGAAGCATCAGCTTCTATCAGTTCAAATCAAAGGATGTTGAAGATGACCAAGAAAACTCAGTTCCAGTTCCACATAACAAGCCTTCCTAATCCAGCTTCCCTTTCTCTTCCACTTGAAAGTGAAATTCCATTCTCTTACTAGAGACCCTGCAACCTCCTATTCTCTCTGCCTTATGCAAACCTGCTGCTCTACCTCTTGAACCACAGCTCCACTTCCCACATTTTTGCTGGTTAACTGTAGGTAAATCTCTTGGATTTGTCTTCCTGGGCTGGCTTCAAACCACAACCCTCAAATCTCAGCCTCCTGAGTAGCTAGGATTACAGGCATGAGCCATAAGCACCTAGCTTACTAGAGAGGCTTCTGCAAGTCTCTGATCCATGAATCTCCTGAGCTTCATCCTGGTCACTGTGTCTACTGGAATTCTGTTCCAAGATCCTTCTTTACCTGCTCAAGATGTAGCTTGCTGCCTCTGGCCCTGACTGCACTAGCTCTCCCCTTGGCCTGCTTTCTTCCTAAGGCTGCTGTCTGCCATTAAATTCTATTTCATTTCAACCTGGATCATTCACCCATAGCCTTCCCCTGCACCTTTGTGCATGGGAGTTTCCAAGTCCCAGCTGGCCCAGATGCCTGTTTTAGCTGGTGACCCAGCAGATTACAGTCCAGTGTATGCACAGCAGTCCTGAAAGAAGACTTTTAATGGGGCAGACACATGCCCTGTTCAACCCGGCACTCAGCATAGGAGGCAGAGTGCCTGTCTTTCCAGCAGTCCCAGACTCAGTGCGTTCACTGCAATCATCAGGCAATGGTTCTCTTGAAGTTCTGAGAAGCCAAGAGCTAATGGCTCACACCTGTAATCCAAGCCACCCAGCAGGCTGAAATCTAAAGATCACAGTTCAAAGCCAGCACTGGGGTGACAAATCTGAGAGACTCATCTCCAATTAACCAGCAAAAAGTCAGAAGTGGTGGTATGGCTTAAGTGGTAAAGTGCCAGCTTTGAGCAAACAAAACCAAGTTCCAGTACCCACACCCAAAGGGAAAAAAACGTCCTGAGAAGAGCAGTCACTTACCTTGAGCCTAATTCAGTCCCATTATAGGAGCAAGTGGGACAATTAAGTCACACCTCAGGAGAGTCTCTGCTTTTGTGAAGCAATGTTTCCTCTTAAGTGCTACACAAAGCAAACTTCAACATTGTACAGTTACAGGTGCACAGCCACAAGTGTGCAAAGGGGAGATTTAAGACCCTCAGGTCACCTTCCTAAAAGCAATGGCCAATCGCCTGCTTCAAGGACAGGTGCACACACAGTCAGGGAAGACCTGCACAGCCTGAGGACACAGCACTGCCTCTACTGATCACCTGGAGACACTAGAAAAACCTACCGGAAGATTCCTGGTGGAACTTGAAGTCTTCGAGCTGAGGGTATGTGATGCTGTCAAACACTTTCAACTCCGACCTCCCACACGTAGTCAGCCATACCACCAGCCCCAGGAGCTCCTCCAGGTGGGGGTCCACTGCACCCTGAGTCAGCCCATTATACCTGTTTGGAATAGTAGAGGTCAGTTCCCTGTACTTTATTTTATTTTATTTATTTTATTTTGCTGGTCCTGGAGCTTGAACTCAGGGCCTGGGTGCTGTTCCTGGGCTTTTTGGCTCTAGCATTCTACCATTTTAGCCACAGTTCCACTTCCAGGTTTTTTGATGGTTAATTGGATCTAGAAGTCTTGTAAACTTTCCTGCCTGGGCTGGCTTTGAACTGCGATCCTCAGATCTCAGCCTCCTGAATAACTAGATCTCAGCCTCATGAGTTGCTGAGTGTGCTGGTGTGTGCTGTCAGCACACAGCTAGCTCCCTGTTCCTCTGAATGAAGCAGCCACATTTGGGCATCGGGCCCTTCACAGTGACGCAAAGGCTTCCTCAGACCTGCCTTACTGGGGAAGTTCTCCTCCTCATTAGCCACAGGCAATCTTGCACTGAAGGCAAGGAAAGAGCTGGGGAAATGTCACCGCCTGCAGATTTAAGCTGAAATCAAAGAAATGCAATTGGAATACAGCATCCTCTCGCCTCTGTGCTCTGCACCCCAAGCTCCTCAGCTGCCCTCCGTCAGCTTGCAGTGTAAACGTATTTTATTGCCAGGTGCTGGTAGCTCATGCCTATCAGGAGGCTGAGATCTTATAATGAAGGTTCAAAGCCAGCTGGGGCAGGAAAGTCCATGAGATATTTATATCCAATTAATCACCAACGAAGTCAAAAGCAGAGCTGTGGCTGAAGTGGTAGAATGCTAGCCTTGAGCAAAAACACTTAGGGACAGTGGCCAGGCCCTGAGTTTAAGCCCTGGGACCAGCACACACACACACACACACACACACACACACACAATTTTTATTACCTTTATGTAGTTGGACAAAGAGGTTTCCATTCAACATAATAATTTATGAGTATAATGCATCTTGGTCAATGTCACCCCTTCCATCATGATCCCCCATCTCTTCCAACCCTATCCATCCCCTCCAGTTCCATTTTTACATATGTAATATGAATATTATGTGCAATCTAAAAATATTAACTGGAAAGGTCCAGAAATAAACAACTCATAAGTTTTAAGCAACTTCTGTTGTGGTAGATTGTTATATAGCTGTTCTATTTTAGTTTTGATTATTGTGTTTAACCTCTTGCCATGCCCAATTTACAAATTAAATTCACCATTGGTCATAGGTACAGAAAAGAAACAGGAGGTTTGATATCTAGTCTTTCAGATATCCAGCATGGGTCTTAGAACATATTCCTGATAATAGCCGGGGGGCGGGGGCGGGGGGGTGTGGAAATACTGTGCAAAAGAACCTATGAGAGACCACAGCACTGCCCAGAGGAAGGGTTCTCTCCTTGGCTGGATCCCCAAAAGCCATGTGATTGAGGAACCCCTAGTGTAGGATTACCTGCCAAATGAAAGGCTTAATATTTCTTTTTTTTGGGGGGGGGGGGGGTCCGGTCATGGGGCCTGAACTCTGGGCCTGGGCACTGTCCCTCAGCTCTTCAGCTCAAGGCTAGCGCTCTACCACTTGAGCCACAGCACCACTTCCGGCTTTTTTCTTTTTGCTTATGTGGTGCTGAGGAATCGAACCCAGGGCCTCATGCATGCAAGGCAAGCGCTCTACCACTGAGCCACCTTCCCAGCCCGAAAGGCTTAATATTTCTTAGAAATATTCAGCAAAACAGCATGGGAGTTCACTGGGCTTCCTGGGCTTAGCCTAAGCTTGGCTGCTGCTTCTGTCTGGCTGCTTATGGGCGCATAGGTTGCCTTGCTTTACAGGCAGAGCCCAGGAATGGTAGGGTATCTGGAGTCTCATTCTAGTTCTGCCCTTTCTGAAACAAGTACATCTAGTGTGGCTGCAGTTAAGACAAGAAGAATGAATGGACACTGGTGGCTCATGCCTATAATCCTAGCTACTCTGGAGGCGAGATTTGAGGATCCTAGTTTGAAGCCAGCCTGAGCAGACCAAACTGAGATACTCTTTTTTTTTTTTTTGCCAGTCCTGGACTTGAACTCAGGGCCTGGGCACTGTCCCTGGGCTTCTTTTGCTCAACACTAGCACTCTACCACACTTGAGCCACAGCGCCACTTCTGGCTTTTTCTGTTTATGTGGAACTGAGGAATCGAACCCAGGGCTTCATGCATGCTAGGCAAGCACTCTACCACTAAGCCACATTCCCAGCCCTGAGATACTCTTATCTCCAGTTAACTAGCAAAAATCCAGAAGCAGACATGTGGCTCAAATGGTAGAGCACCAACCTTGAGGGGGAAAAACAAAAAGGCAAACAAAAACATGAGGTCCTGAGTTGAAGTCCAGTCCTGGCACAAAAGACCACAAGGAAAGAGCACAAGTAAAAGTGGCTGCTTTCTCATACTTCCAAGAACAGACTTATTTCCCCCTTTCTGCCTTCCACAAGAAGCCTGGGGAAAGTTACCATCTGTCCACTAAATGAGGGAAATGTGTGAAAATGACACCCAGACCAACAGACCAACTCGCCAAGGTCCAGACTCGTGTGGAATGTGGTGTGCACCCAGAGGTGTTTATCGTTAGCATCCCTGTGGAGGAAGGCTTTGAAGGGCAGTGTCACTTCATTTCATCTCTGTGGAGACTCTGGGACATCTCTCTCTTCTAAGTACACACATGCACAGACACAAAGCTTGCTCTGTGGTAAAGTCTGTGAAGGACAAGGTAAACAACCATCGATAGAGGAACAAAGCAAAGCTCCAAGGAACAGGTTTGCCCTGAAGTCACTTCCCCAACGTGAGTGAAAGCACCTGGACCAACAAGAAATACCTACGATTTTTGTTGCTTTCTCTCTCTGAATACTAAGTTCAACCTGAAGATGACAGACAGGTCAGAGCTGGCCCATGAGTAGATGAAGGTAACCCTGTCATGGTTGAGCAAAGTCTTTGGGCTTCCCACAAGGATCCCACAAGGATCTGGGAGAAAGGTGGCTCCTTTGGAAGTGGATCCCAGAAACCACTAGCATGTCTAAGGCCAGGGGAAGCCGGGAAAGGAAGGAAGTCAGTTGGAGAGCATTACTGACCAGTGCACTCCTTGACTAAATGGATTTGTCCTTTGAGAGAGCCTGAGGCAAATATGGTGCTGGCTCATCCCAGGGACAAGCTTGCTGAGTATCTACCCATCAGCTGCCATCAGCCATGGCTGAGAGCTGCCACAGGGGTACCAATTCTCATAGACTTCCAGCCCTCCAAACATACTGACAAGGTTGTTTGCAGTAACCATCTTCCAAAAGTGAAAGAAAACCCTAACAGTGAGGAAAGGGGTGGGGATGGGAGAGAGGACATTGATCATATATATATATGATTATACATATGCATTGATTATATATATGATGCATCTAGATAGATAGATAGATAGATAGATGTCAGTCGTGGGGCTGAACTCTGGGCCTGGGCGCTGTCCCTCAGCTCTTCAGCTCTAGGCTAGCATCCTACCACTGGCCATAGTGCCACTTTCGGCTTTTTTCTGCTTATGTGATACTGAGGAATCAAACCCAGGGCCTCATGCATGCGAGGCAAGCACTCTACCACTGAGCCAACTTCCCAGCCCAAGCTGCATCATATTTATAAAATGTTTTGTTAAATGACAACTCCTTTGTACAACTACTCAAAAATAATGATAAAGTTAAATAAATAAATAAATAAATGGAGGGAAAAAGAGCTCAAGGCCCTGAGTTCAAGCCCCAGACTGTTACACACACACACACACACACACACACACACACACACACACACACACACACACACACAAACTAATTTAGAAAGTTGCAAAAATCTGACTCTGTGATTCGCTGCCTCTGGTTTTTCACCTGTTTTTGGGGGATTCATCTTGTTTATCGCAGTACTGGGGACAGAATCCAGGGCCTCTCACATGCTAGGCAACAGCTTTACTGCTACCTGTTTTTATCAATAAAAAGTTTTATTGAAATGAACAGACAAAAATCCCTAACGGACATGTAGGTTCTGCTGACAGGTGGAAGTCAGGGCAGCAGCATGCAAGTGGTCACTAAGCAGACTCCAAGCAGTCCCTCTCTGATCGCTAAGGAAGGGATCCCTCACCACAGATGACATATTAAATTCGTATTTTGGCTAGGGACATGTCTGGCCATGCTCTAGAGAGTTTTGTTATTTCAGAAGGCCTGCCGGGTGGCTTCAATATCTGTTTACACCTCTCAGGCGGTACTGATTCTCCCCTACCCCCATCCCCCAGGCACAGACACTCACCGCAAAAGCACCTTGAGTAGCAGAGGGTAGCCCTCCCCGTTCTCGAACTCCAGGAGCAGCACCGAGGAAATGGGGTATGAGTCCTTGACAAAGCTCAGGATGAGATTCACAGCCTCGCTCACTTCAGGTGCAGGCAGCACGTCTGCCAGCCTGGAGAGGTTCTGGACCGAGAGCCGGATGCAGTTGGTGTCTGTGGAATCAGACACAGCCCCGCTGAGCCCAGAAGCAAGAGCTTTCCCTCCACGTCTTCCAAACCACCCAACCCCTCCAAACTGTAGCTGACAATGTAGATGAAAGCCCAGTACCAGTAGCTTATGCCTGGAATCCTAGCTACTCAGAAAGCTAGGATTGGAGAATCACAGTTCAAAGCCAGCCAGCCTGTGAAGAAAAGTCCATGAGACTCTTATCTCCACTTAACCAGCAGAAAGCTGAAAGTGGGGCTGTGGTTCAAGTGGTAGAGTACCAGCCTTGAGCAAAATAGCTAAGATCCTAAGTTCAAGCCACAGTATTTGCACGTGCGCGTGTGCACACACACACACACACACACACACACACACATATACACCATGCATAGGAATGAATCCAAAACATTTTCTCTAGGCTCTTGAATCCAAGAGACAACTCACTTATCTTCTTTCTGGACAATCCAGGTCCTGGGCTGATATACAAGAACAAGACTTCAGCCATTATGGTAGACCTTGGCGGGCCATACTGAAGCTGAGCATGGAGAGCTACGCAGAAATTAGCTTCAAGTGTGGAAAAGGGCAGATGAGTGAATAAGAAGCTAGAGGGGGAAAGATGGAGTATTTCCGGTTCTGGAGAAATGGGAAGCAGACAGAAGTACAGGTTACAGGGAAGGAAGAAGGCAACGTCCATTCATGTGAAGCCTGGTGTTGAACTTGCTTGGCACCTAGAAGCCAGGGGAAAGCATGATACAGAAGAAGGAAGCCATCAGACTGGCATTGGACAGGCCCCTGTGGTAAGGGATCCTCCCTGGCACTCAGTCCAGGAAAGCTATACCAGAAGCACTGGAGATAAGGCATGCCTGCCTCTTGGGTGGGGTCTAACCCCCTTGGGCTAGGGAGCCCTAAGAGTGGCTCACATAGCAGGAGACCATGCTCTTCCTATTCTCTACTCATACAGAGGCCCAGAGACTACCAGGCCCTTAAGAAGCCTCTGGGCATAGTGCTCCAGGCGGCAGACTCTACTGACATCAAATTGCTGGTTGTTGTTGTTTGCTTGTTTTTGTGGGCTTTTTGTGCCAGTCCCAAGGCTTGAACTCAGGTCTGGGCACTGTCTCTGAGCTTCTGTGCTCAAGGCTAATACTCTACCACTTGAGCCACAGCTCCATGTCCAGATTTTCTGGTGGTTCATTGGAGAGAAGTGTATTACTGCCCACTCTGGCTTTAAACTGTAATCCTCAGATCTCAACCTTCTAAGTAGCCAGGATTATAGGAGTTAGCCACTGACACCCAGCCAAAATAAGTTTGACTGTCATCTTAGGCAGCAGCAGGAAATGTAGGTAGAGACTCCGTTGAGCCACATCCATAGCCTCCCTTAGCTACCCATTGGGTGGCTAAGAGATATTAGGGTCTTGGCCTTGAAGGGAGCTTTGAACCCCTCAAGCTTGGGTTTTCGCCTAGGACTCATACTAAGAAAGGCCTGCAGGTTTTTCCTGGCTCTCTCAGAGTGATGTCCTGGTTATGGGCCACACCGGAAAGATGAGATGACACAAGACCGGTGTTTGTGGGCATACAGGTCACATTGGTAGCTCAAACCCTCCAGTCCTCCCCACTCCTGCCCAAGAGCCCAGACATCAGAGCTGGCCCTAGCAAAAGCCATGGTGTTGCAGGATGGCAGCTGTGTGCTCAGCTGGAGGAGCAAAGAAAAGGATGTTGTGGGCAGGAAGTGAACTGTGATGGACCTTCAATATGTCCTGGGTACACAGAGCGCAGGTGCTGATGCCTGTAATCCTAGCTACTCAGGAGGCTGAGATCTGAGGATTGTGGCTTGAAGCCAGCCCAGGGAGGAAAATCTATGAGACTCTTTTCTCCAATGAATTGTCAAAAAGCTGGAAGTGGAGCTATGGTTCAAGCACTAGCCTTGACAGAAAAAGTGCTGGGACAGCACCTCTACCCTAAGTTCAAGACCCAGGACCGGCACACACACACACACACACACACACACACACACACACACACAGAGATCTGGAAAGATCTACTACTCTGATTGCTACTTTCCCCACACTAAAATCTGTCTCAGAGAAACAAATGGGATCTGAAAGGAGTTCCCTTTCTCTCTCTTCCAACAGATTGTGAAAAGGAGTAACAGGAGCACTGTCATGAGTGGAGCCTTGCAGTCAAGGAGTCTCTGTAGACATACCTGGCCCTCTCTTCTTTGGTTCCAAGGGTCTAGACTGATGCTTCAAGAGTCTACCAGAGTCCTTGTAGAAATTGGACTGAGCCTTCCCTAAGTTTGAGTTCAAGGGAAGCCATAGGTGGTCACAGCCCACACCAGGGCTCTTGACACCTACCCTGCAGGTACTGGATGATGCCAGGACTCTGAGCCCTGGAGATGGCTCTCAGCACGCAGAAGGTGGGCTCCTTCCACAAATAGCAGCTCTGCTCACGAAGACAGGTTGTGGCAATCAGCAGAGTCTGGAGTTCGCTTCCTAAGAGAAGTCCCTCCAGACCCAGAGGCTCACTGCACAGGTTGAGCAACATCTGAGGAAACAAGGGGGAGGGGAAGGAAGAGCAAGAAGGAGGAGAAAGAAGGCACAGGGGAGAGGAGAAGAATTAGGAGGAAGAGAAGATGAAAAGGGACAAGAAGAGAAGGAGAATGATTAGAAAATTTTTAATGAAGAAAAAGAGGAAGAGGAGAAAAAAGAGGAAGAATTAGAATATTAACAATGAAGGAGGAAAAAGAGAAGAGATGGTGGAAGGATTAGAATGACAAAGAGGAAGAGGAGAGAGAAGGCAGAGGAGAGGATGAAGAAGAGGAGGAACAGGGGGAGAATCAGAAGGAGAAAGACAAGAGCAGAAAGGAGAAGAGGAGGAGAAAGAATAATTAGAAAGTGTTAATGAAAAGAAAGGAAGGAAAGCAAGAGGAAGAAGAGAAAAAGGAGGAGGAGAAGGACAAGAAGGAGGACAAACAAGAGAGAGAGTGAAGAGAAGAGAAAGGAGGTTGAGGAGTGAAGGAGGAGGAGAAGGAGAGAAGGAGAGGGAGAATTGGAGAAGGGAGAAGAAATATAAGGAAAAGGAGGAGACTGTTTAGAAAGCCACCCTCCTATGCTGATTTCTCCCTGAGTCTCTGGAGCATGGATGGTGTACTCAGCACGAAGGACTGGATGTCGCACATGTCACCCTCTGTCCCCAACCGGCGTAGTCAACAGATCCAATAGGCAAATGGTGCAGGGCCGGGTCTCAAGGATGAATGTGTGTTTTCTAGATAAATGATTGCCATACTTCTCAAATTACAATGTAATAGTTCCCTTACTATGGGAAAGACGCTCCAAGACACTGCCTGCCTGCCCGAAGTCTGTGTACTGCTGAGCCCCCAGACACACAGCCAGCCCTCAATAACCATGGGTTCCTCACCTAGGGGTTCAACCATCCAGGGGGGAAATTTTTCACGTGACACCTGGTTTGTCAGGCTGTTTTTCCATAACAAGAGGAGCTTGAAAACTAAGAGTGAACAAGGCCAAAGCTTCTCCCAGAAGTTTCTGAGAAACAAGCAACATCCAGGTCTCACTCACCTGCACAAACATCCTTTGACCTTGAACGTCCTTCTCTAAAAGCTCCTCCTTCCCCAGAGGAAAGGCAAAGAAGAGGTAGAGGCACTGCAGAAGCAGGGCTGGCAGTCCAGACTCTGCCACTCTGCTCAGCGTCTCCTGCAAAGGAAAAGTGTGTGTGTGACACACCGTGGAGGGAACTCACACCCAGGGCCTCTGACCCTGTCAGGTCCCCCACAGGGGACCATGGTGACATGACTTTCTCTCTCTGGACTCCAAGTTCCCAAGTGTAAAATGCAGGTAGGGAGGGGATCCCTAAGGTAGCTGTTAGAGGGTAAGATAGATTACCTCCCTCTTCTTTGTGTGTATATCTGGCAGTACTAAGATTTGAACTCAGGGCTTGGGCTCTGTCCTTTAACTTTTTCACTCAAGGCTAGTGCTCCTCTATGTGAACCACTGCTCCACTCCAGCCTTTTGGTGGTTGATTGGAGATATGGGTCTCACACACTTTCTTGCTCAAGCTAGAACCGTGATCCTTAGATCAGTAGCTAGAATTACAGGTGGGAGCCACCATGCCCAGCAGGCAGTGAGTAAGGAAGGGTTGGGCCTAGGCCTAAGGCTGATGGGCCTGGAACTCACCGAGTCGGTCCCAGTGAGCACGAAAGCAGACTTGAGCAGCAGGTAGCTGTCCTGATCTGCCTCTCCTTTCCACTGCAGCAACTGCCCCACGGCCGCCCGCGCTTGCTCTGCAACAAAGTGTCCCGGGTTGGTAGGTCAGTGCCGCCTGCCGTCCCCGCAGGAGACATCCAGCCAGGTGAGTCTTCTCGGAAAAGAACCTTACCCCGGCCACACTGCTGCTTAGCAGGGATGGGTGTGACTCTGGTTGCCAAATGCGCCCGGGCAAGCTCCTCAGCCGGCCCCACCCCAGCCCCCAGCCACTGCCATCGCAGAAACACCCCTCCACCACCCCGCCACACACCCAGCACTCAAGCTCTTCCATCCCCGGAGTCCATCCTCCGGTCGTGCTCCAGGGCCCGGCTTCAGGGCCTCCAGGGGCCAGCTGGCTCATGCGCGTGGAGATGGTGGAAGCATGCAAGCTGCAGCCTGGCCTCTGGACCAGGCTTGCTGCTGCAAGTGTGTGTGTGTGTGTGTGTGTGTGTGTGCGCGTGCGCTCCCCACGGTGCTCCCCAGAGGGGCTCCCCACTGGTGCTCCTCAGAGTGCTCCCCACGGTGCTCCCCACTGGTGCTCCCCGCTGGTGCCCCCCTCAGTGCTCCCCACAGGGGCTCCCCACAGTGTTCCCCACTAATGCGAACCACAAGTAGTCCTCATAGGTACTCTCTGCCAGTGCTCACAAAGTCACCCCATACCTGCAGGCTTCCCAGTGAGGGCCTTCTGTACTTCTTGGGCAAGCTGGCGGGACACGTCCTCTGCCAGCCTCTGGAGACTGGGAAAGCAGATGATGCCCACCGAGTGCTCCCAGGCCTGAGGTACAGCAAGCAGGATGTAGTGAGAGGGCTCATCGAGGGCTGCCTGGCTTCCCTCTCTCCCCACCTCCTCTTCCCCAGCCAGCAGACCCTACCACCCAACACCTCCAACCCTGACCCCCCACACCATTGCCTCCAAGTCCTCCCACTTCCTGCTGAGCTGCAGACCCATTGCCCACTGCCCCTGGACACCTCCTACAAAAGCCACGCTCCTGAGACAGCAACACACAGGACCCAATGCACCGCCTGTCCCCAGGCTATACCTGTGTCCAGGGAACCGTCCTTCCCAGCTGCCCAAGTAGGAGTCCCTCGTGAGTCTCCAAATCTCCCTCTCACACCTCCTTTCTCCAGCCCATTGCCACGGCTCCCTATTCTCCTCAACGTTGTCTTGGTCCTATTGCTGTTGCTATCACAAAATGCCCGAAGCTGAGTACTTTTTTTATATTAGGAAAGTTCTTGACAGGTTTATTTTCTCAAGGGAAGATGGAGATTTCAGGTTTGTGTTTTTCTTCTCATTCTAACATTCCAAGCTTTCATTATGTTACTGATCTGAATGAACATTACTTGTATTAAGAAATAAGAATGGAAAGAAATGTGTTACTAAATTAGCTTGACATTTATTATTTATTTACTTTTGTGCTAGTACTGAGGCTTGAACTCGGGACCTGGGTGCTGTCCCTTTGTGCATTGACATGCTTGACAAGTATAGCTGCTACCTTGAAACCAGCAAATGTGGAGGGGAAAAAATCAGTCTTTAGGGTCTGGAATTTGAGGGGTAAGAAGCCTTTCATCCTCAGGACCAACACACTCTACTACCAAGTCTTTCTAACCAATTCCCTCACCTCCCTCCCCATACTTGCAAACCCTTCAAAGACCAATTTGCAGGCAGTTGACTTAGAAGCATCTATATTGTCTCTGCGGCCCTGGGACTCCAGGAGGCCCGCTACAATAAAGCAAATTGGGCCGCTGTGACTTGGACAGTAATTGTAGTTGGAGCTGGCACTCCCTAAGGCTGGGGCTCCTTCCTGGGACTGCGGTGGGCACTCTGGAGCTGCCTTAACTCTTTCTGGCCACCAGGGGGCTGTTTGCTTTGCAGAGCCAATCATCCACGGAATGGTACCTTGGAGATCCCAAAGAGTTAAGACAGCTTTCAAAAGACCCCAATTCCCCTCCCCAACCTGGGACTAGCATGCTGGGAGAATATTACCCAATATTTTTATAAAATTTTTATTTACTAGAATTATATAAGCCACACCATCATGCCTTGTGCCTATTCCATCTTGTACAAGAAAGAAAAAGGAAATGATGCTCTGGTCTCCAAGGGAAAAATAAAGAATAATAAAATCTCTTGTGGAGTTGTAGGGAGAATGGGAGAATGAGAGGAGGGGTCCCAGTGTGTGTGTGTGTGTGTGTGTGTGTGTGTGTGTCTGTGTGTGTCTGTGTGTGTGTGTCTGTGTGTGTATGAAAGAGAGAGAGAGAGAGAGAGAGAGTGTCCTGGGGCTTCAACTTAGGTCTTTGGGCACTGTCCTTGAGCTTTTTTGCTCAAGTCTAGCACTCTACCACTTGAGCTACAGCTTCACTTCTGGCTTTTTGCTGGTTACTTGTAGATAAGAGTTTCATGGATTTCTCTGCCTGAGCTGGGTTCGAACCAGCCTCCTAAGTAGCTAAGATGGTGGCCAATAGGCCACCAGGCCCTGGCTGGAACCAAACTTTTGAATGACCAAAAGCCCTGGTTGGCATTGGATCCTGACCAGTGTTACTGCTATTCCATTACTATAGAGTTTGGAGCTGGGGAGGGTGGGTTGTCTTTAAGGGAGCACCAGCTATTTCTGAGACTTCACCTGAGGTTTCCCAGTGTGTGACACAGTGGATAATCTTCTTTAAAAATTAAAAACAGGGCTGGGAAGGTGACTCAGTGGTAGAGTGCTTGCCTTGCATGCATGAGGCCCTGGGTTCAATTCCTCAGCACCACATAAGCAGAAAAAAAGCCAGAAGTGGTACTATGGCTCAAGTGGTAAGGCACTAGCCTTGAGCTGAAGAGCTGAAGGACAGCACCCAGGCCCAGAGTTTGGGCCCTAGGACCGACAAATAAATAAATAACAGTAACACTGATTTATCAAAGTTTTGCTAAAACAACAAAAAGTTTATTTCTCCAAAGTGGGAGCCGGGCAGTGGTGGCTCATTCCTGTAAACATAGCTACTTGGGAGGCTGAGATTTGAGGATCACAGTTAAAAGCCAGCCCAAGAAGGAAAATCCATGAGTCTTATCTCCAATGAACCAAAAAGCCAGAATTAGAGCTGTGGCTTGAGTGGTAGAACACTAGACTTGAGCAAAAACACTCAGGGATAGCGCCCAAGCCCTGAGTTCAACCCCCAGTAAAGGCACATACACAAACACACACCAAAAAAATGCTAATAAATTACATTTCAGAACCCAGTGAAAGGTCTGAAGTCAGGAGAGAATGGGGAAGGGTGCCTGCCCTCTGCACCTCCTCTGATACCACGCTGGAAAATAACTGCTGGGGACAGGAGGGGGAAAAAAGAGGATGATGTCTGAATAGGATTGAAGTACATTACATATATGCCCATGTATGTGTGAAAATAGTATAACAAAACCTACTAAAAACTGTTTCAAAGTGGGAGAAAGGAAGATGAAGAAAGACTATTAGAGGGGAATGAATTGATCAAAGTACATTATAGGTGTGAATGGAAATATCCCAATGAAATCCCATTGAGCAATTTATTTATGCTTTGAACCACAATCCTCATATCTCAGCCTCCTGAGTAGCTAGGATTACAGATGTGAGCCACTGGCACTTGGCCATTTATGCTAATTAAAAAAATACTTATTGATCATACTCATTGTTACATTTAATGCTCCCTAGATTTCTTCAATTGTCAGGTTGATCCACCTTTGAATTTAATCCATCTTCCTTTATATCACTAGATACTAGTCAGCCTAAAAGTAGGCACAAGAGAGAAAGACAGAGAGAGAGAGAGAGAGAGACAGACAGACAGAGATATAGAGAGAAAGTTACTTTTACTCCACTCAGCTCAACTAACTTGGCTAAGGAGATTTACTTCCAAGATGGCACCCACATGTCTGGGAGTTGGTATTGGCTGAACAACTTTCTCTACCCATAAACCTTTACTCCTTATTGTGTAAGAAAAAGCATGAAGCTGGACACTGATAGCTCACACCTATAATCTTAGCTACTAGATCCGAGGATCATGGTTTAAAGCCAGCCTGACAGGAATGTCTGTGAGACTCTTATCTCCAACAAAAATTTCAGAAAAAGCTGGAAGTGCAGCTGTGGCTCAAATGGAAAAGTGTTAGCCTTGAGCTCAAGGACAGTACCCAGGGCTTGAGTTCAAACCCCAGGATGGGTACAAAAGAAGAAGAAAGAGGAAGAGGAGGAGGAAGAGGAAGAAGAAGAGGAGGAGGGAAAAAAAGAGGAGGAGGAAGAAAGGGAAGGAAGGAAAGAGGGAAGTTTTCCAAAACGTGTGAATCCAAATGACATCTCTACTCCATTGCATTAACTAAGCTACCTAAATCCATGTAGATTCAAAGACAGGGGCCACAAACCTCCTTTCTTGTATGGAAGACTATAAATCTACTTCCAGCATTTACCATGCCTACACATCTCCCTTTTTTCAAATGGGGTCCAATGCCTTGGGTTGCCTGTCCCATACATTGAGGAATTCTGTACTCATTTCTGGACATTCTCTATCTTACTTCCTACTTTCTCTCCAAGTATAAATCCTAAGGAGACTCTTAACAAGTCTTCTGTAGCTCTAGCTCTCCTGATCTTCTACCACAGAGTATCTTTCCCTACACTATGTAAAGACCTAAAGTGCTTCCGGTTCACTAAAGAAAACTTGCCTGAAGACCAGAAGCCAGCCCTGTTTGCTAAAGGAATGTCTTCTGCTCTCAACATGATATCCCATGGTGGGAAAAGTTCTAACTCAGACCAAAGCCCAAGGTTTTCTTGTCAGGCAAAGAGCAAGAGTCTTTTGACTCCTTCCTAAAAATATTTCTTCCAGCTAGGCGCTGGTGGCTTGCTCCTGTAACCCTAGCTACTCAGGAGGCTAAGATCTGAGGACTGCCATTCAAAGTCAGCCTGGGCAGGAAAGTCCATGAAATTGTCAACTTCAATGAAGTACCAAACAGCCAAGGTGGAGTTGTGGCTCATGTGGTAGAGAACTAACCTTAAGCAAAAAAGAGACGGCTCCCAGTCCCTGAGTCCGAGCCCCAGGACCAGAATATCCATCTCCCCCCACCCCCCCCCCACACACACATCTTCCTTCCACTATACCCTACAAAAGTCACTGGCTTGTATTTCTTCCTGTGTGATGTAACAATACTTCTTCCCTGTCTGCACCACCCCGGAGTCAGCTGTCTGGGCATCATGTGTGTAGGAGTGACAATCTTTCTGTGCCTAAGGGAAAAGTAAGACCTATTCAGTCATGGGAGAGGAAAAGAAAAACCAGATATGCCTGACCCAATCCCACCTAACACAGAGTCGGCGGCCATGCTTAACTAACAGAGTCAGGTAGATGACTCAGGGTAGGTTCCATTCCTGGCTAACCACTGGGACATTGACCAAGTTCCTTAACATCTACCAGGCTTTTTCCTCGCCTTCCTCGTGGAGTTATCGTAAAGACTTGCAGACATGCAAAGTTGTTGCTTAGCCACTTAGAGCTTGGTGACAACTGCTCGCCTGGATCTCAAGATGTTTAAGTCTTTTTTTTTCTTTCCTTTTTTTCTATTGTGAGATTTTAACTTAGGACCTGGGTGCTGTCCTTAAGATTTTTTGCTCAAGACTAGCACTCTACCCACTTGAGCCACAGCTCCATTCTAGCCTTTTTGCTAGTTAATTGAAGTTTCACAGACTTTCCTGCCAGGACTGGCTTTGAGCTGTGATCCTCAGATCTCTGCCTCCTGAGAAGCTAGGATTACAGGCATGAGCCACCAGTGCCCAGCAAGTCTTCTTTGTTTTCTTTTTTTAATTTTTAAGCTCTACTAGGTGGAGCTTGAACTTAGAGCCTTAGCGTTTTCATTCAAGGTACAGGCTTTTCAAGCCTTCTTTTTTGCATTTGAACTCAGGACCTGGGTGCTGTCCCTTATCTTTTGTGCAAGGCTAGCACTTGAGCCACAGCTCTACTTCTGGCTTTCTGATGGTTAATTGGAGATAAGAAGCTCATGGACTTTCCTGCCTGGGCTGGCTTTGAACCATGATGCTCAGTCCTCAGCTTCATGAGTAGCTAGGATTACAGGTATGAGCCACTGGTGTCTATATGTGTTTAAGTCTTAGCTCCTTCCCTTGCTCACCATTTGAACCAAGAGCATCATCATTTCAGCCCAGTTTCCTTCATTGTATTACACATGCTCCTCAAGTTACGATGGGCCTGAGGAAAGTGTATCACGTACATCTCACCCACTGACCATCATATCTCAGCAACAGGCATTTTCCTCATGACCACGAATCCCACCGGACACAGGGACTATGGCTCACTGATCTGTCCAGCATGGGAAAAAAGATCAAACCCCTCAGCACTAACTCAGGAAAAAACTACATTTAAATTCAAAGTCCAGTTTTGACTGAATGAACATGACTTCTACACCATCAGAAAAATTGAAAAGCCATAAATCAAGCCATCATAAATCAGTAACAGTATAACACAGTTTTGGTATCACTGATCAAAAACAAAATAAGAGGATGACAATATCTAAAAAACAGAAGGAAGGAAGGTAGGAAGGAAAGAAGGAACTTTTTACTCTACTTATATAACTACAACTCCTCTGGACATCACCTTTATAATAATTTTTTAAAACAAAATAGGAACCAGACACTGGTGACTCACACCTCTAAGAATCACAGTTAGAAGCCAGCCCAGGCCAAAAAGTCCAAGAAAAGAGCATCTTTATATAACCAATGACAAGAAGGAGGAGAAGAAGTAGTAGTGCAAAAAAAAAAGAAAGAAAGAAAGAAAAAAGAAAAAAAAGCTAAGAGAGTTCAAGCTCCAGTACTGACATAAATAAATGAATAAATAAATAAATTAACAGGTGGGGTGATACTAAGAAGAACAAAAAGGGAAAGATAGAGGGCGATCTGATATTATATCAGAACTGAGACACTGTCTAATTTGCCCTAGCTAAGATATGTCTTCTGAAGAGGAGAGAAGGGCACTGGATGAAGAAGAGAGCCTGCCATTCTGGATGGCAACTTGATTTCTGACTCACCACCTCAGGGTGGCTCCCTGTGGGATTTCTTGTCCTTGAGACTTCCTTTAACTTCCCTAATTGCCCAGCTAGTGACTGAACTCTTGAGTGGGTGTTTCACTCCTACTTGAGCTCAGGAGGCAATGGGCTAACCCTTTTCTATCTACATTCAAAGGGAGCCCACCCTTGAACTAGCTCAACAGTTATTGCAATTATGCATGCAGTGTGACAGAAAGGAGGAGAAAGTTTCCACTGCTGTGTGTTTGCAGAAGTCTCATTTGAGAGAAAGCCAAACACAAAGTTATCCAAAAGAGATGTTGAGGGACCACTTCACAGGTGGATTAGAATAACTGGAATGCATAAGAAAGAAATTTCTGCATAAGAAACAAATTTCTAGAGGTCATGGTACCAGTGGCTCATTCCTGTAATCCTTGCTATTCGGGAGGCTGAGATCTGAGGATCGTGGTTTGAAGCCAGACTGGACAGTAAAGTCTGTGAGATTCTTATCTCTAGTTAACTACCCAAAAAGCCAGAAGTGGAGCTGTGGCTCAAGTGGTAGAGTGCTAGTCTTGAGCAAAAAAGCTCAGGAAGAGTGCCCAAGCCCTAAGTTCAAGCCCCAGCACTGCCACCCAGGAAAAAAATTATGTGGATAATAAGAAAGTGAAGAGAAGCTTGTTGTACTCTGCTTCTACAGGATTCATCAGAGGCAGGCTCTGGAAGCCCAAATCAGCTGGGTCAGTAGCATGGGGTGTCGTGGTGTCAGGAGTGCACCTGGACAGCTAGTACCCAGATGGTTTGGGATGGGACATGCTGGGGGAGAAGGTGGTACAGGCAGTCCCTGGAGAGATGACATCACTGTCGCTGTATTTAGTGATTTGCTCAAGGATACACAGGAAATAAGCAACAGAACCAGACCCTGGACCCTGCTGTGTTTAACTCAAAAGCCTATGTATTCAAATACAGAACCAGGATGCCCCCAATTACTGAGACGGAGTTTGGGGATCATAGATCGACATCAAGGCTTAGTTGTGACAGGATCTGCTTGCAAGCAGGGGAAGACAATATAAATGAGCAAAGTAGATTCAATACCAGATGTGAGAGCTGGAGACTAAGGTTAGCACACAGACACAGTCTGTCTTCTCTTACAGTAGATAACAGAAGCTATGCACCAGCAAATCGTGCCTGTAGTCCTAACTACTTAGGAGGCTAAAGCCCAAGGATCACAGTTTGAAGACAGCCTGGGCAGAAAACTGTGAAACTCTTCTCTCCAACTAACCAACTAACGGCTGGAAGTGGAGCTCAAGTGGTAAAATGCCAGCCTTGAACAAATGCTCAGGGACAGCGCCCAGGCCCTGAGTTCATGTTCCAGTACCAGCACACACAAAAATTAAAAAATGAAAAAGCTTTGAAAAGAACGCTGACCTTTAGGAACAAGGGGAGAAGATTTAACAGGCTCTTCTGATGTTCATCTGGGCTCTTGGGTATCAACTGCTGGTATTCTAGAAACTTCCTTTCCAGTGTGTCCCAGAGGTCGGTGGGGCCTGGGGATGGCTCTACTGGTGGGCAGTCCAGCTGCTCAGCGGTGGCCTGGCCTTCATTGTCAGAATGTGGGTCCTCAGGTCTGGCTTCGGCCTCCATACTGGGCAAGGCTGATCTGAATTCAGAACAAACAGTTGAAAATGAAAATGAAAAACCCTACTCTGGCCGTGGGCAAGGAACCGTGTTCAATCACTTCAGTTTCTACCAAAGACACTTCCTCCAGTAAGTTGAAACTGATCTGAAATAAGGAAGGTTTATGTTAAGGAGGTAAGAGAATGATTTATTATTTAAAATGATCATTTGAGACTTTTAAAAAAGTCACCTTCTTGTTGTTATTATAAAAGTAATATACAGAGGGGTTACTGTTACATAAGTCAGAAAAAGAGTACATTTCTTTTGGGACAATAACACCCCTTCCCGAACTCTCTCCCAGTTTTTTCTCATTTTCCACATAGTATCTAGTGAGTACCATTGCTACATTTGTTTATGTTTGTCCCTCCATTTCTGTGACCACCCCCTGCCCTTCCAGAAACAGATATATGAACAAACAAGACAAAAAGACAAAACAAACAACAAAAAAGAAAAAAGCCTCTTGTTTCCATTTCCTGGAGTTCATTTCAATAAATGTTATTGTGTATGATCAGAGACACATAGGCATTGGCACCTTTCTGTTCCTCTCCTAAAAGCATCCTCATTTGGTCTCAGTGTGTCTGAACACCTAGAGTCCTGTATAATTTATCATGTCCCAGTGTGTTTTAGATCCAGCTTCTGCATACGAGCAAAAACTTGTGCTATTTGTCTCTCTGAAACTTCAGAGACAAACTTCAGACTTCCCTTAACATGATTTGTTCTAGGTCCATCCATTAAGGAAGGCTTCTTTGAACAGTGATTCAAGCTGGGCTTGGTAGTTCCTGCTTGTAATCCTATTTACTTGGAAGGGGGAGATCAGGAGGATTGCAAATTGAGGCCAGCTCTGGGTGAGGGGCAAGGGAGGTAGCAAAACCCCATGTTAACCATGTCCCTGCAGCTATTGAACAGGAGAATAACAGTCCAGAGCATAAATATGAGACTCTATTTAAAAAAATAAAGCAAAAAAGGACTAGGGTACAACTCAAGAGACACAATGTGGGCCTAATAAGTTCAACACTGTGAATTTAGATCCTAGTACAGCAAGAGACACAGAGAGACAGAGAGACAGAGCGTGATCACCCAATCCCTGTTGGGGCAAAACCAGGTTTGCTGAACTGAAACACTTGACTCACCTTCTTTGAGACACGGAAACTTGAGAAACAAGAAACTGTGACAAATGCGGATCCATGAGATTACATGGCACAGTGGTCTGACTCAGAGATCAAGCTGTGGCCGAAGCCTCCCACCTATGCCCGGTACCTGTGCAGGCTTCAGTTTTGTTTGTAAGAGGAAGGAAAAGCAGGGAGTGGTGTCCCAGGAGAGGAAAGTGAGGTAAGAAAAGCGAGAAGAAAGCCCTCTACCCCATGCCACTGCCCAGCGGGGCCCTGTGCAACACCCCCCCCCGCCCCACCCCCCCATCCCCCCCTTCATACTCAGAGCCTAGAGGGATGAACTAGGCATGGGGCGCGGGGGGGGGGGGCACTGGGAGAGATAAGTAATGCCAGGACCAGAACAGGCCACTCACCGTGGGCACAAGATTTAAAGAACACCAGAAAGCATAATGCAGCCAGGTGCTGGTGGCTCACACCTGCCAATCCTAGCTACTCAGTAGGCTGAGATCTGAGGATTAGGTTTAAAGCCAGCCCTAGCAGGAAAGTCTGTGAGACTCTTATATCCAATTAACCAGCAAAAAGTTGGAAGTGGATTTGGGGCTCAAGTGGTAGTGTGCTGGCCTTGAGCAAAGAAGTTTAGGGACAATACCCAGGCTTTGAGTTCAAGCCCCAGGACCAACAGACATATACAAAGCAAAAAACAAAAAAAAAAACAAAAACAGAATGATAGTCGTAGCCATCTGGGTACTGATGCCTACACCGGCCAACTTCCTTCACATGGCTCTAAGTGACCTGGTTTTGTCTTCATTCAAAATCATATCCTTCTTCTGTACATCCCCTTTATAATAACAATATTTTTTTTAAAAAAATCTGATCCTAACCTGGCACCAATTGTTCACACTTATAATCCTAACAACTCAAGAAGTTGAGATCTGAAGATCACAGTTCAAAACCAACCCAGGCAGAAAAGTCTGTGAGACTCTCATCTCCAATGAACTTCCAAAAAGTCAGAAGTGGTATAGTGTGGCTTTCAAGTGGTAGAGCGTTAGCATGGAACACAAAGCTCAGGGACAGCACCCAGGCCCTGCGTCTTAGGACCAGCACCAAAACAAACAAAAACCCAGATTCGTCCTGGTTGCACGTCAATGATTCAAACATCCTTGCTCTGTATCGGCAAAGACCTGGTCTCTAACCTGGAACTCACCAGAAGAGGAAGAGTGTCACAGCCCCAAAAAAATCTGTGCAGAGTGGGGTGAGGTCTGCTTCTCTTTTCTTACCTTTCACATTGTCAAGAACTCACCTATTGGCATCAGATGGGAAGAGGAGGCAGGCAGGGAGACAGGGCTGACCTTAGTGATTGATGCAACTTGGCCTCCCCAAGCTGAGAGTCTGTGCAGCCGGGCAGCATGATCACAGGAGAATGTTGGTTAGTAGCAAGTATCAGGGTACATCTACTTAGCATGTCTTCAAACACACAAAATGCCAAGGACTGGCCAGGAGGCCAAACAAGTCTGACCCTTGCCCTTCCTGGTGGGAATATAAAGTAAGGTGGCTACTTTGACAAAAACAGCTGGGCCACTTCTCAGAATGGCTGAATATGTACTCAACAATTTGTACTCCTCATTTAACTATGCTAGGGTCATGGAAATGTAACACTCAGACAAAAACCTACACATGTCTATGCATTAAGTTCTATTTATACCTTCTAAAACTTAGAGAGAGGGGAAAAACTCACAAATGTCCCTCCAGGGATAAGAGCAGAAACAAATTCAGTACCACACAGTGGGATCCTTCTCAACAACAAAAAGAGTCAGGCACTGGTATCTCACGCCTGTAATCCTAGCTACTCAGGAGGCTGAGATCTGTGGATCACAGTTGGAAGCCAGCCAAGGCAGGAAAGTCCACAAGACCCTTATCTCCAATAAACTACTCAGAAAAAGCTGGAAGTGACACTGTGGCTCAAGTGGTAGAGCACTAGTCTTGGGCACAAAAGCTCAGAGACAATACCTAAACCAGGCACTAGTGGTTCACTCCTGTAATTCTAGCTACTCAGGAGGCTAAGATCTGAAGATTGAGATTCAAAGCTAGCCTAGAAAGAAAAGTCTATGAGACTTATCTCCAAGTAAGGGACAAGGACAGTACCCAGACCCTGAGTTCAAACCCCAGTACCAGAAAGGAAGGAAGAAAGAAAGAAAAAAAAGAAAGAAAGAAAGAGAGAGAGGGAGGGAGGGAAGGAGGGAGGCAGGCAGGCAGGCAAGGAGGGAAGGAAGGAAGAAGGAAGGAAGGAAGGAAGGAAGGAAGGAAGGAAGGAAGGAAGGAAGGAAGGAAGGAAGGAAGGAAGGAAGGAAGGAAGGAAGGAAGGGAGGGAGGGAGGCAGGGAGGGAGGGAGGGAGGGAGGGAGGGAGGGAGGGAGGGAGGGAGGGGAAAGAAAGCATCAGGGAAGGAAGGGAAACAGCACTGATACATACCGCAAGTCAGGGGTTTTTTACAGTGTTTCAATACATGTTTATGAGGTGGATCTCAAAGGTCTGTCTTATGCCAAATGTCAGGGCCTATGTCACTGCCCCTTGATGTCTCAGTCCATTCCTGTGACATTTAGGAAATGTCAGGGATGTGGTAGGGGCCCCAGAGCGCAACCTCAGAAAGGCTGGAGAAAGGGAAAGGATGAAGGTTTTGAGGTTTCTCTGTGGGCACCCCAACAAGGAAGCGCAAGACTTGCCTGTGAGTGCCCTGCTTAACCATGGCCAGTCAGCAGGTGACACCTGCAGTGAAGTTGAGAGCTTCGGCCCCAAGCCTGTCCCTCAGGAGCATAGAATTGGTCCCCAAACTTCAACATGTATCATATCACTTAAAGAGACTATGAAAACCCAAATTTCTGGAGCCAGTCAGAGTTTCCAGTTCAGCAGATCTACATGTGGCCCAAGAATTAATGTTTCCAATGAGTTCCCTGGGGATACTGAGGCAGCTGCTCCAGAGACATTATTTAGATGATGATCAAAGACCACCTGAACCTAGTGGGGACCACCGGGGACCACACTTGCAGATCACCAGAGACCACACCTGAGGACCACCAAGAACTATGTCTGGAGGACCACTAGAGATCACTCCTGGGGACCACCAGAGTGAAGAATGAAGCCAGTCACTGCATGTGAGCCCATTTCCAGTGTCTATAGAGTGCCTGTTTCTCTCTTCCTTCAAGCTCCCCCATGGAACCACTGCCTGCACACAACCCCTCCCTCATGCTGCACCTTGCTGTCAATCTTTGGGGTTCTGCCCTAAAGCCAGATAAGCTATTCTAGTCACACCAAAGACCACTTCTCTCCTGTGTCTTCTTCCCCTGGTCTTTCCTCCAAGTCTGTCTAGTCCTGAGTGGACATCAGGATATGGCCATGGCCTCACAGGCATGAAGAGCTCCTCAAGATCTAGCCTTCTTGACAAAAAAGTAGAATCCAACACAGCAGGCCTATGTCAGGAGACACATCAGGAGCAAGAAGAGCCAAAGGTGGCTCAGCAGACAGAGCTGGTGGAGCAGGGGAAGGGGCAGGGAGATATGAAGTCCTGCGTGTTCAGTTTCTCAGGTAGAACAGACCTAGGGACAAGACTTCACCCCAGGACTTCACCTTGCAAAAGACCTCCACACACACACACGCACATTACCCCCCCCCCCACCCCAGCTGTCTACCTCCTTCCATATTGTCCACACCTCTCCAGGAAGCAAGCATCTCGCTGCCCACCCAGGCCGAGGGCCAAGCATACCTGTGGGCAGAGATCAGTGGATCTCAGGAGCCTGCAACTGCTTCACACAACTCAAGAACAGGGTCAGAGCACTTCAGATTCTCCCAGAAGTTCAGGAACACCTCATCAAGACTAAGGTGGAGACTGCCTCAGCAGGAACCTTTACTGAAGCTCAACACTTCCCTTTTCTGCTTCCCACCCAGCACATACCTCTGTGGGTTCTGTAGACTGAAGGGACACAGGAACTCCCTGGGTTCTGCAGAAGGAGCTGTTTTATAGAAGTGGGGCGGGGGGCGGGTGCGGGGGAGAGGGTAGGTGCCTGTCCTGGGGCTTGAACTCAGGATCTGGATGCTGTCCATTTTTTGCTCAAGGCTAATGCTTTACCATTTGAGCCACAGCTCCACTTCCAGCTTTTTCAGTAGTTGGAATTAAGAGTCTCATGGCCTTGCCTATCTGGGCTAACCCTGAATCATGATCCTTAAATCTCATCCCCCTAAGTAACTAAGATTAGAAGCTTGCGCCATTAGTACCCAGTGACCATTTTATTGTTGTTGTTGTGTTGTTATGTTTTTTAATTTTTTTTATTTTACTGTTTTTTCTTCAAGTCTTATATCAGGGAACAGATGGGTTCTTGAAAGTTATACCAGTACAATAGGTAGTCTGAGAAACAGATTGTATTTGAAAGGAAACTAAAACTACATTAAACCTGAAATACTGACACTTTTTTTTATTACTGGCCTATTAAGCAGTGAATTATGGAAGATGTATAAGGAGGATGTGACTTTGGCTTGTTATTCTTTTTATGGTAGAGGGAAAAAAAGTCCTTAGAATACACTTTTTTCTAAACAGATTGCTTCAGAGCTATTAGGGTCAGTCACAAATCTAAGTTTGAATGAAAGCTTGTAACTCTGCATTATAAGCAAAGAAGGTGTTTGTAATGGGATTGTGGGGAACAAAACACTGGGGTTGGTTTTGTTCTAGATTCTGTTGGGAAAATACACTGTTATACTCATAGGACACTACAATGGAAATGAACTTTACAACTTGAGGGGGAGCAAGGAGCGGGGGAGGTAGGGCATGGAATGGTTAGTAGGAGGAATAACATCGTATTGTTCTAAGTGAGTAGTTATGGTTCTTTTCTTTTGTGCGTGCTGGTACTAGGGCTTGAAAGCTGGACCTAGGTGCTATCTCTAAGCTCTTTTGCTCAAGGCTACCATTCTACCACTTGAACCACAGCCCCACTTCTGGCTTTTTGGTGGCTAATTGGAGATAGGAGTCTGTTGAACTTTTCCTGCTCCAGCTGGCTTCCAGCTGTGATCCTCAGATCTCAGCATCCTGAGTAGCTAGGATTATAGACATGAGCCACCTGTGTCCAGCAAGGAGCTGGTTTTATATTTCCGTATTTGGACCAATTGCCACATTGCTAAGCATGGCTAGAGAGTGGTACCCATGAATAAGGATCCCCCAGCTTATCTACTGTGGAGCCAAGGATACAAAGACACAGGCAGGAAACAGCACAGAAACAAGCGCATCCTCTAACCAGGAGCCTCTCAGGATGGAAGCCAAGATGGTAGCTTGTCCTCCTGAGATGTCCGTCCTTGGCCAGCCATAGATAACTGAATATCTACTCCTTTCTGTTGGGATGCTGACATTCTCTAGAGAGTGTAAAAAATCTGTAAGATGGTTGACAGTTATTTCCATTTCATGTATAGACAAAGCAAGACTCCAAAAAAAAAAGCCGGATTCACATAAACCAAGAGAGGCCGGGTGCCAGTGGCTCACTCCTGTAATCCTAGCTATTCCAGAGGCTGAGATCTGAGGATGGAGGTTCAAAATTAGCTTGGACAGAAAAGTTCATGAGATTAACTACCAAAAAGCTAGAAGTAGAGCTGTGGCTCAAGTGGTGGAGTGCCAGCCTTGATCAAGAGAAGATAGTACCCAGGCCCTAAATTCAAGCCTCAGGATCATCAAACACACACACACACACACACAATCTTCATCAGCTCTCATATCCTCTAGGGTTGTTCCCAAGTTCCAGGCTGTGGACCATAAGATCTTCCTCCTTCCTTCTCTAATGTCCCAGGGTCTGGCCCCCGGACTCTCTGCCTCTCCTCAGCCAGCTGCTTCTCCCAGGAAGCCTTTGCTTCCTCTACACGTCTGTATCTTGCTGTCTTCCAGGCACAGCTCTATGGCTGCCGATCCCACGTCAAACTTGTCCTACCACTGGGCCACCTGGTGATTAGAAGCAGCCACCAGTAGCAGGTGCCAGCCCTTTCCAGTTTCCAAGTCTGATAACACAGATCCTTCCACGATTACAGCAGGCATCCAGTGGGGCAGATGCTGATCATCTCTACATGCAGGTGTAAAGCGAACACCTGGGGCTTGGGTTAAATGCTGCTTGTGCAGAGGGTACCCAGGCTGTGGAGTCAAACAGAATGAAAGTCTACCTGGTGTAATTCTAAAATTGGCCCTTCTAGTCCCACTATCTGTAATACACGTGTCTCTCACCTCATCATTCTCTTCCTTACATTATCATCGCTCGTAGGTAGGCTTTCTCTTTCTCACTCCTGTTTCTACTCCATTAATTTTCTATCACTTATGACATGTCACAGTGATGTCATTAAATACATCAAAAATTAGACTAACTGGACACCAGGGGCTCCAGCCTGTAATCTTAGCTACTCAGGAGACTGAGATCTGAGATGGAGGTTCAAAGGGAGCTTGGGCAGGAAAGTCTATGAGATGCTTATCTCCAATTAACCAGCAAAAAGCCAGAAGTAAGAGTGTGGTTCAAGTGGTAGAGCACCAGCCTTATATGAAAAAGCCAAGCAAGTATAATAGGCCTTGAGTTTAAGCCCCAGTACCAGGAAGGAAATGAAGGGAGGAAGGAAAGGAGGGAGGGAGGGAGGGAGGGAGGGAGGGAGGGAGGGGCAGAAAGAAAACAGGAAAAGAAATGATGAGGATCTTTAATCTTTAATGGCACCTAAGGTGTAGCACAGAGGGTCTATGTAATTTTACCCCTCCTACACCTCATTTATGTCTCTTCTCTGACCTTTCTGTCTATTCTACATTGGCCATGTTCCCAGGTCCACGGAGTTCATCCCAGGGCCTCAGCATGGGCAGACAGGAGGATTCTCCCTGGCCTGACCCCATTCCCTAACTCTCAGTCTGATCCCAACTCTCTCTTGTCCACTCTGCCAGTCTGGCCTCTGGGTCTCCCTCCTCAGACCAGATTCTCCTGAGGAGCCCCTAGGGCACAGGCCTCTTCTTCAGATCTCCTCCCTGGGAGCTCTGGCCTCTGGTCTCCCAACCTGCTACCCCTCATCTACTTCACTTCACAGCACTGAGCAACACAGACTTCTCCTTTGCTAGCTCCTGCCAGGCAGGAGAATGGCCTCTTAATAAATATTTTTAAAATATTTTATTGTTATTGTTCAGGTATTATGCAGAGAGGTTACATCCATAAGTCAGGTAATGAATAGTTTCCTTTTTTTTTTGGACAGTGTCCAGTGTCAACTCTTCCTTCTCTTTCCCCCAGTTTCTCCCTCCCATACCTGCCCACAAGTTGTATAGGTCCTTTTTCACAAAGTGTCTACTGAATAACATATCTCTAATAAATATTTGAACATTTAAATAGATGTAAGCCAGGTGTTAGTGGCTCAGTCCTGGAATCCTATCTACTCAGGAGATTGAGATCTGGAGATTGCAGTTCAAACTCAGCACAGGCAGAATAACCCAAAAGACTCTTATCTCAATGAACCACCAAACACTCACAAGTTGGAAGTGTAGCTCAAGTGATAGAGCATCAGCTTTGAGCCAAAAAAAGCAAGTGTGCAAGGCCCTGAGTTCAAGCCCTAGGACTAGCACAATTAAATAAACAAACAAAGCATGGCACTGGTGGCTCATACCTATAATCCTAGCTACTCAGAAGGCTGAAATCTGAGGATCACTGTCTGAAGCCAGCCTGGATAAGAAACTCTGTGATACTCTTATCTCCAATTAATTACCAGAACAGTGGAAGCAGAGCTGTGGCTCCAAGTGGTAGAGTGCTAGCGTTGAGCAAAAGAGCTCAGGGATAGTGCCCAGGCCCCACGTGCAAGCTCCAGTACCAGCACAATTAAATAAGCAAACAAACCAAATGCAGAAAGCTATGCTAAAATCTAAATGTTCCACAGAAAGGGCAGCCCACAAAACCTGTAGGTATTGCTGCCAAAGAGTTGAGACAAAGGATTAGTTCAGTGTTCTAGAAGGTTCAAGGTGGGAAGAAAGAGAAGAGCCCATACTCAATGAGACAGGTGGTTCTATTTATTCAGAAAATGTCCATATTTCAAAAGTTGGATGTGGTAATTCAGATGAAGGAACTAAGGCTCAAAGCAGCATCTGCTCACCAGACCCTCAGCCCTGTTGGGGCTGGGGCTGGCCAGCTCTTCTGATGTCCACTCTGGAATGACCCGGGGCTCTTTGAAGCTACACGAGGGCTGGGTTCAGTCAGTGTTACACTCACAGCTGGGACAGGCCAAAGCCAGCCTTCCCCAGCCCTGGCAGCTCACAACAAAGCCATGAAAAAGGATCCACAGTGACAAAGCCTCCTGCTAACAAGGGCACAGAGCGAATCTGACCACACACTTCCTGCTAAGGCTCCCCTCACGTCTGCAGACTCAGCCAGGCACTGGTGGTCACAAATTCCCCAGAAGGCCACCAGCAGGGAGTCAGGACCCTGACCAATGGTTACCCCCAGCCCTACCTTGGCCAAGGACAAAGTGAGCTACCTACCTGGAAAAGCAGCAGTCAGGGCTCGACGGTGTCAAATGGCTCGGCTGCCTCCATGCTGGCCACAGCCTCTCAGGCGCCGTTGGAAGGGGACCCAACAGTGTTTCACTATGAATCAGTCATGGAGCTGGGTCTCTGCTCATTTCCTGGAGAAAGCAGAAGTGAGGAGTCGCCCAGATGCCTGACTGCCCACCCCCAGCTCGTGACGGAGCTGCATGCCTAATGCCTGGTAGGCTGGCTTGACGTTGTCGTAGGGCCCCTGGGGCTGTGCACCACCCCCCACCCAAGGACCCCATGGGCAAGCAGTGCCGGGTGAGGCCAAGGGAAAGCTCAGCCCAATAGACCTGAATTCTGTATCTTATGTGCACTCATATCCATTAGCTGTGGGACCAGTAGTGCCTGCCTCCACTTTCTGAGTCTCAGTCCATAAGGACATTTAGGTGAATGGCAATTAGAGGTCATGTCTCAAGCACATCCCTGGGCATGGCATGAGCTCCCCAGCCCCCTTCCGCCAGGCTCAGAGGTTCTCATTTGGATTTCTTCATTTTTAACCATCAGATCAAACTTGGGTCACCAATGGAAAGTGTCAGATGTCCAGCTGTCAATAATGGGAAAATACCACCATCGTGGTGAAAGGACATTTCAAATAATAAGATGGAGGTCCCTGAAAAGCAGTGTCTGAGTTTCCATTCTGTTGAACATCTGAGGCGGAATCATCCCATGCTATCTATGTAGAACACGCCTGCCTCAATGGGCAGCACTCCTGCAGGATGCCTCCCCGTGCCCTCTGCAAAGCCAATGCCACCACATAGGCAAGGGTGGGTGCCCCATGCAGCTCACGGCCTGCTTCTATGGCCCTGGACCAACAAATCTCATGTGAATGACTGGCAGTGAGAGGCAACAGCAACATGATCTGTCACAGAAGCAATAGGTTCCAAGATCCATGTCAAGATGAAGACAGTGTTTGTGAGAAATCCTCAGCTCATCGATGCACAACTGTTAGTAGACGGCAGTCAAAATAAGAGACGTGTCCTGCTGAGGATCTGGGCCATGAGCCCAGGATGGACGATGACAAGAAAAATCTGAAGGACCCATGCAGGACAGGACACATCAAGGCTAAAATCTTGAAAATCAAAACTGAAGGATTGTCTTTAAAAAGAAATATTCCATATAGGAGAACAAAAATATATAATTTATGAGCCAGGAATTAGTGGCTCATGCCTATAATCCTAGATACTCAGGAGGAGGCTGAGAGCTGAGGATCACAGTTCAAAGCCAGCCCAAGGAGGAGAGTACATGAGACTCTTATATCCAATTAACCACCAAAGAGCTGTAAGTGGAACTGTGGCTCAAGGGATAGAGCTTCAACCTTGAGCAGAAAAGCTCCAGGACATCACACAGGCCCTGAGTTCAAGCCCCAGGACCAGCATACACACACACACACACACACACACACACACACACACACACGGCTGATGTTTATCAGAAACAATGCAAGTCATATGACAATAGCAAGACATCTGTAACATGCTAAAGACAAAAATAAACACTGTCAACTCGTAATTCAAGGCAGTGAATATCCTGGGGGGTGGGGAAACTAAGGATGAAATCATGATTTCAGATCAATGAAAGCTGAGGTCATTCATCTCCAGCTGCCTTTCCCTATAAGAAATTCCAAAGGAGGTTCTTTTGAGGCAAGAGAAAGAAGCTACCAATGGATGCTTGGTTCTAGAGGAAAGAAAAGATGCTATTTAAAGCAAATGCATCCGTAAGAATCGACTAATGGTATCCTTCTCTTAAAAGATTTCCTGTATAAAGAAAAATAATCCAACAATGTACTCTGGAGCTTCTACCTTAGTACAATGTACAGATGGTCCTGGAGTTACATTCTTTGGCTTGTAACTCTTCCACTTTATGATGTAGCAAAAGCAATATGTAATCCTTAGAAGCCAGGCTACAAATGTTGGATTTTGGTCTTTTCCCAAGGTAGACATATGTCAGCACGATTGTATTCTAGAATGCATGGTGTTGTGAATATGATACAGATATACAACTAATGTCATGAAATATTCAATACTAAATTGTAAAATAGGCTTTGAATTTGATGATTTTTTTTCTGACATAGGCTAATGCAAATGTTCTGAGCATGTCAGAAATAAGCCAGGCTGAGCTGCCATGTTTGGTCGATATATGTATTAAACATATTTTCAACTGTTTAGTGAGTGTGTACCGGTATGGGCCTGGACACTGTCCCTTAGCTCTTTTTGCTCAATGCTGGTGCTCTACTACTTGAACCACAGCTCTACTTTCAGGTTTTTGCTGGTTAACTGGAGATAAGAGTCTCATGAATTTTCCTGCCATAGGCTGGCTATGGACCATGATTCTCAGACCCCAGCCTCCTGAGTAGCTAGAATGACAGTTGTCCTTCAATGTTTTGTACCTTTGTTGTCCTCCAAGATAGCCACTCTTGTGCTCTGGGGCCATGGCTAAGTCAAGTATGGCTGAACTGAATTCCAGCACTGTGATTCCTCATTAATGGATCTACTGGCCAAGACAGCCACCACGTGACTCTGGGGCAGGTGGTATACACAGAACAGACTCGCTGGGTGAAGGGATGACTCCCATCCAGGGCAGGATGAAGCAGGATGGTGCAAACTTTCACTGTGCTGCTCAGAGCAGCATGCAACACCCAATTTGTGAACTGTCTCTTTCTGGAAGTTTTTCCTCTTGATGTCTTTAGATCATGGCTGACCACAGGAAAATGGAAACAGGCTTCAGATAAGGAAAAATTATGCTATACAAAGGAGTTAGTGAGTGTGTGTGTGTGTGTGTGTGTGTGTGTGTGTGTGTGTGTGTGTGTGTGTGTGTGTGTGCCAGTCCTGAGACTTGAACTCTGGGATTATGCACTGTCCCTGAGCTCTTTGTTCAAGGCTGGTGCTCTACCACTTGAGCCCCAGCTCTAGTTTTTTGTGACTTTTTGGTTTCTTCCCAAACTGGCTTCGAACTGTGCTCCTCAGATCTCAGCCTCACAGACATTAGTGATTTTAAAATTGTATTTTTCTGACTTTTATAAGAATGTTAAGCTTACAGTTTGTGCAACAATATAAGGAATAAGAAACAAGATTTTTAAAACCACTAATATACTAACAGCTAATTTGGAGTTTGGTGAAGATAAAATTTCAGTCTTTTCTTACCTGTTTACCGAAGTACAGTTCATTAGTCTTATTATTTCTCTTAAGAAGTTTGAGGCTGTTGATGGTAGCTCATGCCTGTAATCCTAGCTACTTAAGAGGCTAGGATCTAAAGATCAAAACTAGCCCAAGCAGAAAAGTCTGTGAGAATCTTATTTCCAATTAACCAACAAAAAGCAGGACTGGGCATATGGTTCAAGTGGTAGAGCACTGCAAATTTGAGGCACTTAGTTCAAGCCCCAATACTGGAAAGATAAAAGTGAGACCCTATTCAAAATATAACCAAAGCAAGAGGTTGGAGTAGGGGGAGAAGCAAGGCATTGCATGGTCTGATGGTGCCTGGAGGTGGGTGGAGGCACTATTGGCATCATTTGCTGGGTTCAGGGGGTGCGTGGGGACAGAAGCATGGAGTGAGGTCAGCAGGTCCCCTGGGAGTGGCCCAGGGTGGGTGGTGGAGCAGAAAGCAAGATGTGGCAGCAAGCTTCTGTGCTTAGATGTGTGAGCTTGCTCAAGGTCAGACACTTCTGTAGACTTCCCTCTAGGCTCCTGGAAAGATAGTTAAAAAGGAGAAAGGCTGGGCCAACTATCCTCTGTGGGAGGACACCAAGCTCCTGCTTGACATTTTGTTTGCTTGTGTGTGTGTGTGTGTGTGTGTGTGTGTGTGTGTGTGTGTTGACCCTGAGGCTTGAACTCAGGGTCTGGACATTGTCCCTGAGTGGTTTTTTTTTTTTTTTTTTTTTTAATTTCAAGGCTAGCACTCTATCACTTCAGCCACAGCTCCATTTCTGGCTTTTAGTGGTTAACTGGAAATAACAGTCTCTTGGACTTTCCTGCCTACTCTGGCTTCCAATCATGACCCTCACATCTCAGCCTCCTGAGGAGTGAGGATTATAGGCGGGAGCCACTGGTGCCTGGCTGCCACCGCTTTTGATCAAAAAGGAAGAGCATGTGCTGCAGGTGGGACCGCTCCATGCCCCAGTAGTCCCCTCGCCAACTGGCCCAGGGTCCCTGTGGGCCTCTATTCAGGCGTGCCTCCCAGACACGCCCTACCCACAAGAGCTCAAACTTGCCACCCAAGCCCAGCCATCCCAGATGCTGCTAGATGAACTGCACTTTAGTATGGTACCGGAAGCTGCAGAGCTCTCTGAGGCCAGCTTGGGAAACTCCCTCCCCCACCTCCGGGGGGTGGGGGCATCAAAGTAAGGATGTGTGTGGGGGTGTACGTGCCAGTACCGGAGCTTGAACTCAGGGCGTAGGTGCTGCCGCTTAGCTTTTTCATCTTGAGGCTGGCGCTGTATCACTTGAACCACAGCTCCACTTCCAGCTTTTTGTTGGTTAGGTAAGGATAAGTCTCACAAACTTTCCTACCTGGGCTGGAACCACAATCTTCAACTCTCAGCTCCTGAGTAGCTAGGATGACACCAGTGCCTGGTGAGGGGAAGGTCTTTAATATCAAACTGATGACGCCCACCCCTGCCTGGCATCATCCGCACCTCATCTGAGGCAAGATGAGCGCGGTCATCTGAGTGGATTTTGGTTTTTGTGAGAAGTGAGTGGAATGCACATGCTTAGCCAGGCGGGGTATGGAGCCATTCTCCATGGCATCCACGATTTTCTCCGGAGTGCATGCGCGTTTCCACAGGCCTCAGGGCTGGAGGGGTGCCGGGGAGGCTTGTCTGTCTCATGCCCCTGTTCTTGAGATTCAGGAAAAATAAGTACCCTCTCTGTACAGCAGGGCTCTCCCATTTTTTAAAAAGTTTTCCATACTAAGGCTTGAACTCAGGACCTACACCCTCTCCTTTAGTTCTTTCACTCAAGCCTGGCACTCTACCACTTGAACCACACATTTCCTTCTGGCTATTTTCAGGTTAATTGAAGATCAGAGTCTCACTTTTCTGCCCAGGCTGGCTTCAAACAGCAATCCTCAGATCTCAGCCTCCT